TTTATTGAATTAAGTGCGAGTCTTTGTGTGTGTGTGTGTGTGTGTGTGTGTGTGTATGTATGTGTGTGAGTGTGATCGTACATCATTTAAACGCTATAACACGCGCATTAAGGACATTCATCTAAATGAGCACATTTTTTAACTCTGCTCTGCACAGGACGAAACCGAACAAAAAAACAGCAATATCCTTGGCAGTGGCACTTAATAAATTCGGACAGCAAATACAATGGAAAATTTATTTCTATGGAGCAAACATTTGACGTTTTCAACATTTGGAGATTAGAGTTTCAGCAGGTGTTTTTCAAAATTTTCGACTACGCTTTCTACACACACACACACTTCTCAACACATGTTTAAGTATTTAAGTCTGCATACGAACGAGTATAAAATATAGTTTTTAAGGTCAGGTTCCACTAAAAAATGTTCAAAAAATCAGAAAAAAATACTCTTAGAAATAATATAGATTTAGTCCAGAAGGTCCGCAAGACTAAAATGTAACTATAGAAGAGCGAAGAGCGGATCGTGCCAAGCGGTAAATCCGGCCGCTCGAGCACTTTAATCGCCTTTCTCTCGAAACTCCGTGCTTTCAACTGAGTGGCACTCTTATTTAGTACCTATTGAACTTATCAACATGAACTAAATGGTCTTTTACTCCTAAAATCTCTCTCGTTGATCCGTACTACAACCAAAAATATTCGTTGTTATTTTAAAAAATTGTAAAAAGTTAAGATTGAAAAAAAGTAAAAAAAAAATTAAAAAGTCCATTTAATTCATTTTAATTTTTTTTTTTTCGGTGAAAACGTTTCATTGTATTTCCGGCAACAGTAATGTATTTAATGCGGAATAAGAAATCGTTTTGATTTTTGCTTTCAAATAACTCTTTTTACAGTTATCGTGTCACTCACCAGCATCCAGCAGCAATTTTGAGTGAATGAATTTAAAAAAAAAAAAAAAATCCAAAATATTTTTATATGTCTACTTATCTACAAAAACTTTGGCTTACAAATATTTTTTTTTAATAATTAAAATTTGTTTAAAAAAGCACGTTTTTTGGTGTAACCTGGCCTTAAACTTGAAGATTGACTTCTGAGTACCTTCTATTTTATATTTATAAGAATACATAAAATTTTTGAATTAAAATTACACAATATAGGCTAATTGAATGATTTTGTGGACACACAAACCTCACCCCGCCTCAGCTCTATGGTTTTGGTTTAAGGGGTTACATTGGTCTTAAAGGCCAAGAAAAACTTATTTTCTCGAATTTTTTTAAAGATACTAAATAAAGTATACAATTTGTTTTGTTTACATATAAAAGTACAATATGTGGGAAACATTTAATGAAAATTTGCATGAAAAATAGTATGAGTTAAGGCGTTGGCAGTGCCGTGAAGTGGACCGTCCACAAGAAAGTGCTTTCGCGGTAGTCATGATAACTTTTTCAATTTTTATCTGAAATCAAAAACCCAAACATTTTTCTTAAAGTAGCTGAATTTTACTTGTCCCTAAACGAAGAAAAATCAAAAAAAAAATTAAAAATTGAATTTTTTGTAATTATTTGCATAAAATTAGGCCACATATTGGCTTGTAAAATGAGTTGAAATCAAAGATAAAATAAATCCTTCATTCGGGGACTACAGAAACATGTTTAAAAAGTGTGGAAAATTTGAACTCGATTGCTTGAATAGTCGTTGACAAATTTTGACATTTCAATATCAACAAAGACGATTTGCCAGCATGCGAACAGGTACCGTAGACTGACCATGCAAAATTCATACCTTTCATCTTCTTATGCCGCGATTTTTCGCCTAGTATTGTAGAACAAATTGGTCTAGTGACCAATCCTCGCTTAAATTTACTAAGTTGTTTCTGGAAAGAAAAGTTCTAGCAAACCGAATTCAAGCAAACCGTACCAAAAATCTCATATCTCCGAATTGATCTGTTCATTACTCGAATATAAAAATATTCAAAGCATATTGAACCATAAATAACATTTTTAAGATTCAGTTGCTGCATGTTAATCTGTACGATAAGCTATCAATCCCTTAAATTGTAAGCTTTTCTTATATAAATAACGCCCTGCTCCACTTTCCGGAATAAAGTTAAATTCTCTTTCGTAAAAACCTTCTCCTATTAAATACGAATAATTGTGAGAAAAATGTGCCGAATTGGCCAAGCCCTTCTCAATTCAGCAAAACTATGTATTTTTTTTGGAAATTTTTTAATTTATAGGGTCATCCATTTCATGGTTTCAAAGGTACAGTGCTGTACTTCGACGTCTCTCAAGTTTAAGTGTCATACCAAACATTTTCTCCTTTAGTAAAAAAAAACAGGCATTTATAAAAAATGGATCGTTTAACAACCGCAAAATGCGTTAAAATCGTTTAAACCTACAGCAAAAACAGTGCTTCACACGTGATCACGTTTCGTTCTTTCAGAAGAGGTTATGTTGAATATAATCTTCCAACTACTCAAGCGAATGGTAAAATTTTCAAGAAATTTTGAGTGACCAGTTCGGTTACAACCTGTGCATCATAGTTTTGCTCGTTCCACCTCAAATGCTGCTAGAGTAAGCAAAAGTTTAGTTGAAGACCTGAATGTATCTATTTCTCACCGTTCTTAGGAGCGGCGACTTTCTTACGGCACATCCATATAAAGTCCAGCTCGCGCAACAACTGAAGCCAGCTGATTCACAATACGTCGACTAGATGCTTGAACAACAAGCAATGGACGGCGGTTTTTCGCTGGAAATTTTCTTCAGAGACGAAGAACATTTCTCACTCGGAGGATACATAAATAAGCAAAAATTTCGTATTTGGGGTTTCGAGAATCCTCACATAATTGAAGAGAAGCTGTGACATTGTTGTCTGTAACGCTCTTTGTTGTTGGACTTTTAATTTTGTGGGATTCGGCGAAAGATCGCGTTTATGCGGATAGAGCTTTAATTATTGAATACTTGAAAACCAGCATTCGTCAAGTCAAGTTATGGCTGAGATACCTCAAATGGATTAAAGTTCGCAAGAATTCGTGAGGCGGTCACTTGAATGGTGTAGTCTTTCACAAACTTACTTCATTATAGAAATGGAATCTCATGAAAAAATTATTTTAAAACCGCAAAATGGATAACCCTGTACGTTAAAATATATATTAAATACATACATAGGTATTTTCTATATAACACTTTGCACGAAGCTGTGCTTTAACTAGCCTAGAAATTAAGTATACATAATATGCGCTTTTTATTTATTTATTTTTTTATAATCAATTTTTTTTTAAATTTATTTCTATGTATGCATGTATTTTATTAAAAAGAAAATTATACCCTAACGATATGCGCAGTTAATTGAAAGTAAATCATTTCCAATAAACATTTCAAAAACAGTTGCATATTTTTTTAAAGAAATTTTCCTTCAAACCCGGAATCTGTGGGGTTTGTTGAAGAAAATAGATGAATTTCTTTGTTAGGATAGCCCCTAAATAATATAAATAAATAATCTTTAAGTACACTCACTCTGTGCTCAAACTCGACCAACAGATGTCGCTAGAATTCAGCGTATACTCAAACCAGTTTGATGTTGCTACACTATGTTTATAAACATTCAGGCAGGGATATTCAAAAGCGATGAAAAACAATAAAAAGTTGCCTTAGAAGAAATGCTGACGAGAGATGCAACAACACTTTGTGGCTTATACATGCATATGTGTATATATTTATGTAAATATATATGAACAGATGAAGTAGTTTCTTCTTTTCTTATTCTTATTCTCTTTTAGAATTAGTGGTTGTCATACTTACAAACTACTCCATTTCACAGATAAGCTCAATATTATCTATTTATAAAACCTTTATCTTACGTGTTACATACTGACGTTCGTCTGTTATGTGTAAATAATGTCGAAATGTTCGTCCAATAACGAATTTTTAGTTCAGAATGAAATTTTTATTTCCCTACTACGAGAACATACTTATAAGGAAATGCAAGAAAATCGATAAAAAATCAAATATTTTTCCTAAATTTTTATATATGTACATATACATGATCCGGTAATCTCCATTGTTTCTATGATTCCTGGGAAGGTTTATACGAAGGAAATAAAGGTTTCCGAACGTGAACCAAGTATTGACTTATTCGAAAAAATCTTATTTATAGTTCGATTTGCTTGAAATTACAGTACATAGATGGCTTTTTGGGAAAAAAATCTTACATATCCACGGTTCTAGGTACTGTCAATCACAATCCTAGAAGTGACAAATTACTTTAACTTTAACATTTGCTGATGATACTGACATACTAAATAGGAGAATGGCTAGCTAGCTGGGGCCTTAAAGTTAGTGAAAATAAGTGCAAACAAATAACTTTTACCCAGAGCGAAAAACGTGCCCTACTGTCAAGCTCAACAATGTACCGATCCCGCAGGCTGGCGAAATTATATACCTTGGAATCCAAAACTGCAGCTTTTAAACAAAAAAGTCTGCAGTTAGCTTTAGCAACAAAGCTCTCTACTACAATGCAACAATAAAACCGATATGGATGTATGGAATCCAGTAGCAGGGCGCAACGTGCGCAAGGAATATATATATATAATTCAAAGGTTTCAATCGAAGATGTTAAGAGTAAAAACGGACGCACTATGGTATATGCTGAATGAAAATATCCATAAAATATCTTAATATACCCACCATCAAGGAAGAATTTGAAATCGCAGCACAAAAATACTTAACAAAACTACGTAAACAGCCGTACCCTTTGGTCAACACCTTGGTACATGCAACAAGTCAAATCCACTTGCGGAGAGTAGCAAGTATTAATTAATATGATATTTCAAGTATGAAATATTCGGAGAGAGAAGTACATAACCTCATTTCTGTAACAAATAACGTAAACTCCTTTCTGTCAAAAAAAAAAAAAATATTTCCTCTGTTTTCCACTTCGGCGTCGGCAAAATAGCTTTAGCAATCACTTTATTGTATTTCGTGAAAGAGATTAATATCAGCTTTTTTATTTATTTATTTTTTTATAATTTAATTTTTATTAATTAATTAATTTTTGTTTTTTGTACAGAAAGCCAATCGTTTATATGTGTATACAAGTGCTTTTATTTAAACAAAATGTTAATATAAATGGGATAATGCCGTTACGGTTAGTAAAATAATAAAATTATGTATTTAATAAAATAACAATGTGACTTAAACCTAATAAGGTACAGTTATTTCTCCAAATGAAATCCGATGCCACCAACTATTGGCCACATTTACAGCCCGAACCGCACCCGCAACTGCCACTTTGTGTTTGTGTGCCGCATTTGCAACCTGAAAGTAATTAAAATAATACAATAAATAATTAACCGTTAAACTACATATATTTTTCAATTTATTGCAACAACTCTTGCCAATAGCACACTTACCGCTTCCGCAGGGACAACACTTGCACGCCGAACCGCAGCCACAGTTGCCAGTTTTAGGCTCCGAACCGCATTTGCAACCTACAATTTGTTTAAATAAAATAAAAATCTCATTAAAAATTATAGAAAAAGCATAAATTTAATAAAAGATTTTAGCCAAAAATATTTAAAATTTAAACAATTATTTTTCCAAACGCAAACTCACCGCTTCCACATGGGCAAACCATTTTGTTGTTAGAATTTGTTTGTGTTTTCCTTTTACACTTGAAGAAATTCAGCGAAGAAATTCACTTTAGTTTTGTTATTCACACAAGTTTAGCTTTGTAAGCGCCAAAAGCTGTTACACTGAACTACACACTGGCGACCCTCTCGGTTTTATACACATCAAAACGCTTGATTCGGGTTTCGCTTGTTGGTGGAGTTTTGTGGTGCCGCGTGCAAAAGCCAACCCGAAGTTGGTCGGTTGAAGTGTGGTGTGCAATAATATACATTTGGATGTATGTATGGGCATATGTTCACTCGCTTACAATGCGATCATAAAAATACATATCTACATATATGTGAATGTGTGTGTTGGCACGCGTATTTGTGGTTTGTTGGTACGTCGCATTGATAACGCCGGGCGGTGCGCACAAGTGGGAGGCTAATTAGCTCTCTTGAATGCCGTGTGAAATGCCCAGTAGGAATTAATTTAAGTTGTTTATTGTTTCAACTGCAGATACGAAAATTAAATAATGAATAAATTTATAATTTTATATGGTTAGTTGTTGATTGATTGTTAAATAATAATAAAAACATATTGTTGATTTACAGTAGATTTTAGTTTTACGTACATATATTTTAAAGTATTACTAAATTAATATGATGTATTAAATTTTTAATATATTATAAGTATATTTGATTTTGACTTTGATGTTTTCCGTATAATTAATAGTTACTAGAAAAGTAAATGTGTTTTAAATATATTACAGCGAAAGTGAAAAATTAATTAGAATCAATTTTAAAGTTCAATAAATCATACACGGGAAAACAAAACCGAGTCGTAATACACTCACTTCTGAACGAATTTCTACACTCAATCTCATAGGTTTTCTGTACAAAAAGAAATAATATAAATATGTAATTACTTTGGTTGCCTCAAGCATTGGCTGAGTGTTCATATTCCTACTGGGACAGTTAGAGCGAAGTGCAAAAGAAGTGGCAATATCAAATAATTCGAACACACGCACACATACCTCCAAACACTGCATGCATTAACCAAAAGTAAAAAAAACATTCTTTGGATCAAGCCGTGTGAAAAACCGTTAGCTAATCATTTGCATTTTGCACCATATCATATTCTTGGTGTTTATCCTTCCAGGCATTTATTTGCGCTCAATACCAAAAATTGTTGAGAAGTTCTTTAATCAACACTGCAGTTCTTCCGTCTATAAAACAGCCAATTGTGGATGATCACAACAACAGTCATCGTTTGACCTGCAAAGTTGAAATTTCAGATAAAGAGTAAAAAAAATAAAATCGAAAAAATTATTGCAAAAATTCCTTGTCCATGTGGAAGTGGTAAGAACATTCTTTTTGTTATTTTTATAAAAAGTGTTGCAGAGTTTTTGCGCTGCTATCATTACGTCGATATTTTCATTTATATATATATAATATATATTAGTGTCTAATAAAGTAATTTTCATTGCGAAATAATTTTTTTTTTAGGTTGTCAGGTAATTGCGGTTGTGGTTCGGCTTGTAGGTGCTGTGTTTGTGGAAGTGGTGAGTTCAAAAATGATTTTCAAATTTAAAACAGTTGTTTTCGCAAATGTGTATTTGTAAAATAATAACAACGCTATTTTATTTCTATTATTCAATGGTTTTAGGTTGCAAATGCGCTACACAATCTCAGAGTGGCAGCTGTGGTTGCGGCAATGGCTGTAAATGTGGGCAGTAATGCGTTTAAAATTTCATGTTTTGAAATAATAATAAATAAAACAAAAAAAATATGTTTTTGTAATTTAGTAGAAAAAGTTTAACTCAAGGTTAACAGTACGAGCGACCGACTGACCGGCGTGATAAACGCATCGGAAAACTTCGGTTCCGGGAATGAGTTCCCGTATGAGTTTCATAATGACGAAAAACTCGGCATGGAAAATATTACTGCCGTGAGTCACTTTGGTATTAAATTCCAGGCGTTCATTTCGTACGATGTCGTTACCATGTCGTTCCGTGGAAATTTCAACATAATTTAATAATGAGTCAAACATATCTTCTCTTTCACAAATTGGACACTAAAATTGATCTCAATTAGTTGTGCAAATGTCAGAAACCAGGTTAGTTGGAGACCTAATCCCTCCAACGGAGTGGACTGCTCAGTATAACATGTAGTATTTGGAATATTTAAGCACACCCAAATTTGCATACTTCATTATTCTAGACCCACCCATTAATGAATATCCGTGGACTAATATCACGTTGAAGTAATAAGATTTCGGAGATTCAATCTCGGATTTCAGTACAGAATTATCCGAATAATGAAACCTCTCAGAAGGGTCTTCTCATATAAATCTTAGGAGAAACTTTCATTTCTAATTCGAGTCTTCTATTATAAATTATTGAAAATTCATTGAAAGCTATGAAGAGTGACATGAATCCCCCACATTTACACAAGAAACCCTGTTCCGTTTGGAATAGCTAACATGCGAGGTCGGAAACTGGACTCAAAGCAATGAAGAGTCGTTAAATAATCTCATTGATTTTGTTAAAAGCTGAGATAAAGACCTAATACGTGGAGGGAAATCAGAGTGATATTCGTTTCGAAGGCCGAGTGAAGCTCTCATGTTAGTCCTAAGTTTTTTAGGTTAATTAATTTATGTTCCTTATTGCTGGTAACGCTCTAAAGGTTGATCGACTTACACATAAGGAGCATAACACCTTAAGGCTGTCATTTAAAGACTCCGCAAGCGTATTGCATAGGTACAGATTATTGTAATATGGATAAAGGTAACCTCTTCAATGCTGTGGGGCGGCTTTTCTCAACATCAAATACCGTTATCTCAAATGTAAACATGGCTAGAACCTGGAGTCTTATTTTAAACCATCTATCCGATAGAACGGCCGTAGCTAAGTTGTCGAATTCCCATAACAGCAATATCCGTCGAAGTTCGTCCATTCGCAGTAGTTTAGTGGGCAGCGATTTCAAATTTTTCTTTCCAATTGTAAATTTCAAAAAAATTAGTTTATTTTATCGAGTACTCATATATTTGAGGATATTTTCCGAAAATCTAAAGTTCATCCGACAAACAGTCTCGGAGATATGATCGCATTAAGTATGTCTGGTGGTGTTCGAAAATAACGAAGTTTAAGGGGCACACCTAGTGTAATGGCCTAAAAAAAGACGATGATTTTTGGGAATTTTGATTAAAAAAAAATACTTAATCAATTATTTCAAAATTTTAAGAGCATATTTATACATGTTTCATGAATACACAGTTTTTTGATATTTTTGAAGAAAAAAATTAAATATTTTTTAAGTTATAGTCGATCTCCAACAGCGCAAAAAAAGGTCCTTCACTGATGCAGTGATTTCGGCCTTCTACGTGTATGAGATCTTAGAAAAAAAATTCTCGATAAGATAATATCGTCTGTACAATGACCTACGATAAAAAAAATTAAAAATTGACAATATGGCGGCGTTTGAAAAAAATAATCGAATTTTGCCCGAAATTTTGGTTGTTTTTGGCCTACCAAAATTCAATTTTTTGATCAGATCAATAATCGATAGGTCATTGCACGGAGAACTATATATAGAACATGTAAAAAAAATTCTATAGTTTTTGAGTAATCGCTGCAGCAAATCCGGAAAATGCTGTTTCGTGAAAAACACGTTTAAAGATAAAATGATCGTTTTCACTCGTTGCCAATGAGACTCTCTAGCTGCCGAGCGGCTGCTCTTTAAATTGCTATAACTCAAAAACTATTTGAGATATCGATTTGAAATTTTAATATGTTATTCTTTAATGTGTAATATACCGAAATATGATCGATTTCAAAATTTTTGAATTTTTTTTTGTCAAAAATCAACTATTCCTACCATCATTACCTGTATTCATCCATTGTTATAATACATTTTTTTGTTTCGGGTTTCAGATAATTCTAAGCAGTAATGTCTTCCTCACCGCCAGACAACATTTTATGGGGGCTCTTCTGGAGATCGGCTGCAGGAACAAGAGGGCTCAATATTTTTTAAAATGAATTATTTTTTTTGTATATTAGCATTTTTTTCGGTTAATTCATACAATAAAGTTCCTTTAAAAAAAATGAACAGAGGAAAGCATTTATTTTGTTTTGCAAGTGGGTATAACGCCTTAAGTTTAATAAGTTGAGGGTCCAGCCAATTAAAGCTATTTAACTTACACCCAGCTGAAAGTTGGTAGAATTGTTCAAAACACTATCATAAATGAAATCTCATCGATCCAACCCTGGAAGTAATTTACATGGGCTCAAAAATCTCAAAAATATAAAGTTATCTTTCGAAATTCTATTCTTAAGGAGGTGTACATGGAAAGTAAAATTTGTAGGGGAAATGGATTTCGAAACTACCAAGCGATGTTAGTCCCCAGGGAGTTGATCTAACTCAAAAGAAATTATACTATTTTTCCTGCAAGCGGGCCATTAGAGCGCATCGCGCGCAATCAACTTCGTAAGAAGTTTTCCTTTACAAACTTCGTGTGTACTTTTGTCTCAAGATCAGGCCTTCTTGTATGATATTCATTTTGAAATTTAAAAGACTAAATTTTTTACGTTCAATTATTTATTTATTTTTAGCATAACACAAAAAACAGTTTATGCTAGCGAAATTGCATTTTTTTATACACTTTACTGTCCGCATTTGCAGCCACTTCCGCAACCACAGCTGCCGCCTTGGGACTGCGAACCACATTTGCAAGCTGAAACCATTGAAAATAGAAAAAAATTATTATTATTTGTAAATTCAGTTGATTTATTGTTGGTTTGAAGTTGTTCCCTAATAAATTTAATTTTAATTTGTTAAATCAATTTCGGACTCACCGCTTCCACAAGGGCAGCATTTACAGGCCGAACCACAACCACAATTACCGGACTTTGGCTGAGTGCCGCATTTGCAACCTAACAGTTTTGAAAAAAAAATGTAAAACTTATAAATAAAAAATGACAAATTCTTTACAATTTCATTACAAAAATATTTTGATAAGAGAACAAAAACGCTAAAGGACTAAATATACAAGGACATTGGTATGTGTGTATGTGCGACTTACCGCTTCCGCATGGACAAGGCATTTTGCAATTTATATTGTGTAAATTTCGCTAATTTTTGTTGACTTATTGGCGTTGTATGTATGTATGTATTTGTTAACCAAATACTTTTCAAACTGATTTTGTAAGTTGAACTTTGTTACCTCAAAGGATGACTGCTGTTGTGGTCAACAGATATTACGGTTTTATAGTCTAATTTGTAGCAATTTCTGGATTTTGTAATACGCAGTAGTTAATATTCTATTGGTGTTGTGTGCAAAAGCGTGATTATGTGGATTAACACGATTGCTTTGCTGAGGACTTTTCACACGGCTTGACCCAAAGTAGGTCTCTTCGCTGTTTGTTAAGACAAATGTTATATGTATGGATGTATGCGTATGTGTTGGAGTGGTTTTGTTATTATCTCTTGGAGTATTACTTCAACGGACCCAGCAGGAATTTAATCATGATACAAAAACAGTGTAATCTATATTATATATATAAAAACATTTGTTTGTATGTTTGTTTCTATATTAGTATTTCCAAAACTATTGGCGCATTGTAACCGCTGGGGCGATTTCCGGCCGAGTTTCTCCTCCAATTTGTAGTTTTGCGTCTTGATGTTTTTCCAAAAAAAAAAGCGAGACCTACAGTTTATACTAAACAACCTCCGAACGACTGACTGTTTTTATGATGAGCTTTAATTTTAAGTCAAAATTATGCTCTGAGGCATTGACACTCCCTGCCGAGGGGCGACCGTATTTAGAAAATTAAACTTAATCTCTTATTGAAATTAATTTTCTACAACTTTCGGACATTGGTCCTAACAGGATTTGAACTCTGGCCTTCTAAATTGCACTACTTAATGCTAAACACTCGGTTATTTCGGCCGCAGTTAGCTTGAAAAGTGCACCGTGGACTGCTTTTTCGAAGAAATCGTATTTAAAATTGATTTTACGTGAAATATTTTTACGGGATCTACTTGAAAAAATATATGTACATATTCATTGTGGGATTTATGATAGTTAATTTTTTTGGATGAATTCGAAACCTGGAACCAAGTTCGATTTGCTGGAAATATAAATCATACTTTCTTTACAGGAAAGGGATCACCGGGAGGTTTGACCAAAATTTGTATGATTTGGATATAAGCCTAGATCGTGCGTAATTATGTTCACTGGAGTGTAAATAGTGTAGATTCTAACGGTGCATTTGGCTCACTTCGAGGCATTCTTATATCAGTAACTAAGAAAGTAGTATTTTAATTTAGTATAAAGCATCCCTGAATCCTCTTCCAACCAAGATTTTTTAAATTCAAATAAATTTCTAAGTTCTAAAATAACTCTCAAATTTTTCTCTTCAATTTTTAAAGTTTCTTTGGCTTTTCGAAGCAGCTATTTTCAAAAAATCAAAAAGAAATGGAAAACTTTTATTTGAGTATATGGATTTTAAAAACGCGTTTAATGTTTTAATCGCAGCTACTATCCTTCCAAAACACATAACCTAATCGATAACTTTGAGAGTTTTTCTCGGATCGACTTCGGACCATGAGAAGAAATAAAAAGTGAGTTTTATTTAAAATTATTTTTCTCAAATTTTGAATTTCGTTATGATCAGGTTTTGCAACTAAACGTAGCGCTTACTGCTAACCACTAGGCTGACTCAGCTGATGCGGTCTATTATGTTTAATAAATATTCAACAAATAAAAAAGTAATTATATCCAGATATACTTAACAAAAAGGCATCAAAAGCAAAATTCCTACTGGGTATTTCATACGACATTCAAGTGACTCAACTCTCCCGGCTGGTGCGCACCGCCCGGTGTAATCAATGTGACGTAGTACCAATAACCCGCAGTTATGCACGCATATACAGAAACAAGCAACATTCATGCATACATACATATGTATGTTTATAACCGTCTTGTAAATAAACATAAAGTGCACACCACACACACTTCAGCCACCCAACTTCGGGTTAGCTTTTGCACACGGCACCACCTCAAAAGTCCAACAACAAGCGAGACCCGAATCAAGTGTTTTGATGTGTATAAAACCGAGAGGGTCGCCAGTGTGTAGTTCAGTGTAACAGCTTTTGGCGCTTACAAAGCTAAACTTGTGTGAATAGCAAAACTAAAGTGAATTTCTTCGCTGAATTTCTTCAAGTGTAAAAGGAAAACACAAACAAATTCAAACAACAAAATGGTTTGCCCATGTGGAAGCGGTGAGTTTGCGTTTGGAAAAATAATTGTTTAAATTTTAAATATTTTTGGCTAAAATCTTCTGTTAAATTTATGCTTTTTCTATAATTTTTAATGAAATTTTTATTTTATTTAAACAAATTGTAGGTTGCAAATGCGGTTCGGAGCCTAAGACTGGCAACTGTGGTTGCGGTTCGGCGTGCAAGTGTTGTCCCTGCGGAAGCGGTAAGTGTGCTATTGACAAAAGCTGTTGCAAATATATGAAAATATATGTAATTTAACGGTTAATTATTTACTGATTCTTCATTTTTTGTATTATTATAATTACTTTCAGGTTGCAAATGCGGCACACAAACACAAAGTGGCAGCTGCGGTTGCGGTTCGGGCTGTAAATGTGGCCAATAGTTGGTGGCATCGCATTTCATTTGTTGAAATAACCGTACCTTATTAAGTTTAAGTTACACACTTTTTATTTATTTCAATAATAATAAGCTTAAATATTGAAAACAAAAAGTATACAATTAAATTTGTACAAAATACAAACTAAAAGTTTATGGCATTTCGTTATTAATAAAAAAAAAAACTAAATAGAAAAATTGAGTTGTATATTTTTCTCTCTTCTTTCTCTCTCTCTTTTTTCTCGCTTCTAATGCCAGCTCTTAGTAGTTTGTGTAGTATTTGTGTAAATGAGAATTAATGCAATGGGATTTGGCTCAAACCCCGAATTATTATTGCATATGCGTACATACATAAGTGAAAATCTGGAATAAAAAAGACGTTGAAATGAAAAAATTTATTTTCCAAAAGCGATTCAAGTTTACTTGGACTTTAAATTTGTTAAATACACCAGCGATACGATATTCTCTGATCACATACGAGTATATGTATGTATATATATGAATGTTTTAAGAAATACCAACTTTCCTTAAAACTGAATCCACAAAAATCTGCTAGTTCTCGTATTCTCTGTTATAAGGTTTAACCCAATATTTGAGCAAAAATCAAAAAATTAGGTGAATTTATTTGCAAAATTAAAAATCTTTATTTATTCTTCCACATCGATTTCAACGCCTTCAAAATGAACCCCTGCCCATGCAATGCACTTATGCCAACGCTTTTCCAATGTCAAATACTCACGTTCTGGTATGGTCTTCAGACAGCGCGCCGATTCATGTTTAATCTCCTCAATCGACTCAAAACGGTGTCATTGAAGTGGTTTCTAGAGTTTTTGAAAAAGCCAGAAGTCATCATCTCTTACTCGGGTAATCATGCATTTCTTCTTGTCTTAATAGCCAGAAAGCATGTTTTCACACATATCAACGGGTCTTACTTTTCAAATAATCTTTCTAAAACGATTTTACAGATCCTTCTGATATTCCAACCATCTCAGTAAGGTCTCTAACACTCAATCGACGATTTGAGCACTAATTCCTTAATTTCATTGACGTGTTGCATATCAGTTAACGTTGATGGTCGTCCCGGGCACTACAAGTCATCAACACGCTTCCGACCCTCTTTGAAGTCTTTGTACCACTTATATACTTCTTCTGCGACATAGTTGAGTTCCCAAAGGGTTTCTGTAGCATCCTAAACGTTTCAGCAGCCAGAAATTCGTTCCGCAAAACAAAATTTCATAGCATTTATTTGCTGAATTAAATCAGACATAAACATAAAAACCGGCGAAGGCACGTTGATGTCAAAAACAGTGCTTCTAGTAGTATATGCTCGTATAACTGAATCCTCTTCGGACACCCTGATAACATGAGCAACTCCTGTATGCGATATCTTTGGTCGCAGAATCCCTTCAACATTTTCGTTTTAAAGGTTCACCGAAGCCTTCTTGCAGCGTATGTTCAGAAGAAGTGTAAATGTGGGGGTCGTCAACCTTGAGGTAAGGGACTCGCTGTATAAATGTGTTGAAATGGTGACAGAAAAGTGGTGCGTGATGAAAAAACTAAATAAGATGAAATGTTGTACGCTTCAAGGTCAGTGGAAAATTTGGTTCTTGTGGTATACAGCGCAAATTTGGTGTTGAATGTGTAGTAGGTGTTAACTTTGTGCTTGATTGGCATTAAAGCTAGACTTTTCGGCAAATTGCTGTCTTGCGCTCACACTGCGTCATACGAGTATCTTCTCGCTGGATAAAGGCATTCCAGCTTTGAAAGAATAAGATGCAGTCTTCGTTGCTGGTTGCCGTGAAGGTGGAGGACCTTGACTATGTTGGAAAAAGTGGTTGGAGTAATTAATGTCCTTGTGGAAGTGATAATTGTACCTGTAACTATTTAAAAAGGTGTCTGCAGTGGAAATTGTGAAAGATTTTTTGAACTTCTAAATAAAAAAAGATTGTAATTGTTAATACCTTTTTCCAAACTTTCTTTTTAACTCTAAATGCATAAACGAGCTCATAATTATTTTTCACAAATAATAATTGTTAAAATATCAGGTCATTATTATCTACCTCCGAATGGACAAGAACTTTTTTCAAGTAAGAAATCAAAACATTTAGTATTTTGGAAGCCGAGATTCACACCATCATAGTAAACGATTTCTACTCTGCTATGAGATCCCCCTACCTCATTGTCGAACCCAAAGTTTTCCGAGGCAGAATGACGATACCATTTATCTCGCTGTTGCTGCGATCAGCCATACTTATTAACCTGGTCATACTCTCTTTATACCATTTGAGTCAGAACATAACAACGAGTTAAACTTTTCTACTGAATTACACAAACATAATTGTTTTCCGTTTTATTTATTATTATTTCAAAACATGAAATTTTAAACGCATTACTGCCCACATTTACAGCCATTGCCGCAACCACAGCTGCCACTCAGAGATTGTGTAGCGCATTTGCAACCTAAAACCATTGAATAATAGAAATAAAATAGCGCTGCTATTATTTTACAAATACGCATTTGCGAAAACAACTGTTTTAAATTGGAAAATCATTTTTGAACTCACCACTTCCACAAGCACAGCACCTACAAGCCGAACCACAACCGCAATTACCGGTCTTTGGCTGAGTGCCGCATTGACAACCTGAAAGAAAAATTATTTTAAAATGAAAATTACTCTATTAGATACATATATATATAAAACTCTGCAACACTTTTTATAAAAATAACAAAAACAATGTTCTTACCACTTCCACATGGACAAGGCATTTTTGTTATAATTTTTTTATATTAATTTTTTTTACTCTTTATCTGAAGTTTCAACTTTGCAGGTCAAACGATGGCTGTTGTTGTGATCATCCACAATTGGCTGTTTTATAGTCGGAAGAATTGCAGTGTTGACTAAAGAACTTCTCAACAATTTTTGGTATTGTGCGCAAATAAATGCCTGGAAGGATAAACACCAAGAAAATCACATGGTGCAAAATGCAAATGATTAGCTAACGGTTTTTCACACGGCTTGATCCAAAGAATGTCTTTTTTACTATTGGTTAACGCATGCAGTATTAGGAGGTATGTGTGCGTGTGTTTATTTGATATTGCCACTTCTTTTGCACTTCACTCTAACTGTCCCAGTAGGAATATGAACACTCAGCCAATGCTTGAGGCAACCAAAGCAATTACATATTTATCTTATTTCTTTTTGTACAGAAAACCTATGAAATTGAAAGTAGAAATTGGTTCAGAAGTGAGTAAAATGTGTATATCGATTCGGGTTTGTTTTCCCGTGTATAATTTATTGAACTTTAAAATTGATTCTAATTCATTTTTCACTTTCGCTGTAATATATTTAAAACACATTTACTTTTCTAGTAACTATTAATTATACGGGAAACATCAAAGTCTAAATCAAATATACTTATAATATATTAAAAACTGAATACATCATTTTAATTTAGTCATACTTAAAAATATATGTACGTAAAATTAAAATCTACTGTAAATCAACAAGGTGTGTTTATTATTATTTAACAATCATTCAACAATTAACTATATAAAATTCTAAAATTATTCATTATTTAATTTTCGTATCTACAGTTGAAACAATAAACAAGCAAATTAATTCCTGCTGGGCATTTCACACGGCATTCAAGAGAGCTAATTAGCCTCCCCCTCGTGCGCACCGCCCGGCGTTATCAATGCGACGTACCAACAAACCACAAATCGCGTGCCAACACACACATTCACATACCCCCACTTAACATTCACATATATGTAGATGTTTGTGATCGCATTGTAAGCGACTGAACATATGCCCTTACATACATCCAAATGTATATTATTGCACACCACACTTCAACCGACCAACTTCGGGTTGGCTTTTGCACGCGGCACCACAAAACTCCACCAACAAGCGAAACCCGAATCAAGTGTTTTGATGTGTATAAAACCGAGAGGGTCGCCAGTGGGTAGTTCAGTGTAACAGCTTTTGGCGCTTACAAACCTAAACTTGTGTGAATAACAAAACCAAAGTGAATTTTTTCGCTGAATTTCTTCAAGTGTAAAAGGAAAACACAAACAAATTCAAACAACAAAATGGTCTGCCCATGTGGAAGCGGTGAGTTTGCGTTTGGAAAAATAATTGTTTAAATTTTAAATATTTTTGGCTAATATCTTCTGTTAAATTTATGCTTTTTCTATCATTTTTAATGAGATTTTTATTTCATTTAAACAAATTGTAGGTTGCAAATGCGGTTCGGAGCCTAAAACTGGCAACTGTGGTTGCGGTTCGGCGTGCAAGTGCTGTCCCTGCGGAAGCGGTAAGTGTGCTATTGACAAAAGTTGTTGCAAATATTTGAAAAAAATATGTCATTTAACGGTTAATTATTTATTGATTCTTCATTTTTTGTATTATTTTAATTAATTTCAGGTTGCAAATGCGGCACACAAACACAAAGTGGCAGCTGCGGTTGCGGTTCGGGCTGTAAATGTGGTCAATAGATAGTGGTATTACATTTCATTTGTAGAAATAACCGTACCTTATTAGGTTTAAGTTACACACTTTTTATTTATTTCAAAAATGTTATTGTTAAATTAGGCTTAAAAACATAATGCATATGTATGTATATATGCATCTACAAATATTATAAAAGAATGCAGACTAAAAGTATATCACATTTTGTTATCAATAAACAACATACATAAATAAACAAAAAAATAAAAAAATTGCACATATTTCTCTCTCACAATACCAGAGTACTTACTTGTTGGTGTGGTATACGTGATAATGCAGTGGATTTTGCGCAAAACACGAATTCCATGGGTACAAAAGGTTTTCAGCTGGCAAAAGCTTAAATGCATAGAATACTGTGGTCTTATTTTTTTGATGATCCAAAGAATTTATTTTAGTCACTGCGTATCTCTCAAGACCAAGAAAGCAGGCCTTATTTGACGACAGTTTGTAGGATTAATATTTATTATTGCCTCCTGTAAATTAAATTTTTTTATTCTGTTCTATATATATATTTAAATTGATAATTTGTATCCTGGTAAGCTTAGTAAAAACTTGAAAGTTTCTCGAATTTACAATTTAGTACAGAAATAAAGTTGCTGGAATAAAAAAAGGTATTAAAAAAGAAGTGAATATTAATAAACCCGCCGCGTTGCCTCGAGTCTTTGATGATAAAATCTTTTAAAAACAAAATTGGAAATTGATGTATACAGTTCGGATTTGATAAAAATGCACAATACAAATTTTTTAGAATTTTTTAGTGATAATTAGTGATAATCGTTTCAAGAAACATTCAGTTTTTCCGATTTATTTCAATTACTTATTTCGCAATGGTACTTAAAATTTGTAGAAAACTCCATATACTCCATGGCATTGACTTTCAAAAAAAGAAATTTTAATGTTTTCTTTTAACTTTTTCCCAGCAAAGCTTTACTAGAGTCGAAAATTGAGTTGCATGCCAATTTATGAAAGATTTTGACTTTGATTAAAAAATTTTTAAAACAATATTTTATATATCTGAAATGATTTTACACCTTAAATTGTATACCATAAATCGCTCAAACTCGCAATGACCTTGTTTCTAAACTTTGTTTGTTTATAATATAATTTGAAGCTGTATTTTCCATAAATAGGTTAGCAAATAAACAAATTCGATATTGTAAGTGAATATGTATAAAAATGTATAAATAAAGCGCATCACGTAGGAGAAAAACTAATAAATAAATTATGTTTATAAACAAAAATATATTAAACACATAGAATCATATTATATTATTAACATTAATCACAAGATTTTTTTAGTCATTCGCACGTCGCATTGCAAACGAGTTGGTCATTTTTGAAAATTAATTACAGTTAAAGTTTTAATCATGAATTGTCCTTGTGGAAGTGGTGCGTGTATATTAAATTCTTTATTAAAAAGTGAACTTCAGTGAAAGTTGTGGTTGATAAACCTTTATTAAGTTGTTCGTTTGAACATAGAAAGCCCCTCATATAACCTCTTAAGATGTTTTTTTTAAATTTTTTTTATTATTTTTTTTTGATTTCGTTTTTTAATTGCTTTTTAATTTTTATGAGTACTTTAAATTTTTATAAAATTTTTTATTTTTATTTTTTTTTTGTTTTGTTACTTTTTTTATTTTTCTTTTTTTTCTATTTTTTTTTTTTTTGTAGTTTTCTTTTTCTCTGTTATAAACGCACTTCTCCTCTTTATACCTTTCATGTACTTGAATTGGTATATTAATTCCGGTACGAAGTATTCCAGAAGTTCCATAAAGAGAAGAGATAGGCCTATCGATATTCACACCGGTCGGATCAGAATGATGAGAATGACAAATAACTAAAATATTGTACATTTATATTTGTCCGTCTGTTTGTACATAAACTTCGGGACTAATGAGATATTTCAACCACACTTGGACCTCTATAGCTGATATATGATCGATTTTGCAGATTTGAGATTTTGAGTCATAAATTAGTCAAAAAAAGCATCTAAGAGCGTGAAATTTGGTATTTTTCAGACATATGATGAAATGATTGGTGCTGAAAATGATCAAAGTCGAACAATTATAACATACCAGATGTGTAAGTATGAAACCGGAATTTCGTAAAGTAACTTATTCAAAGTATTGTCCATTGCTATCTATACATTCTTCCCATCTCTCGGGCAATTTGTGGATTCCTCAACAAAAGAACTATTGCTCTTTTGAGGCAAACCAATCATCGAGTCATTTTCGTACAGATAAAGCGCTGCTCAGCAAAGCAAATAAGTCGTAAACGGATGGGTCAACGTCCGGTTAGTAAGCCGCGTGCTGAAGAATCTCCCAACGGAACGACTCTATCGTTTCCTTGACCAATTTTGATTTGCATGCTGGTGCATGCTCATACAGCAAAATCAGCTTTTGTTTTCTTTGTTACTATTCTGGTCGTTTTTCACTCAAAACTCGATCCGAATCGGTAATTTGTTGTCGCTAGCGTTGAGTATTGACAGTTTCCCAAGGTTTCAGCAGCTCGTAGTAGAAAGTAGAAAACAGAAAAGTAGTGCTGTCTTCAAATCGTAATTTGTTGGCACAAAACTCGTCATGTTCATCTCTAATAAACTAATGCTACTGAATGGGACTCGTTCTAGTGTGAGTTGGAAACCTTTGTCGAATATCAATGCAATAACAAGACAACGCTGACGTGATGTGTCGGTAACTGCATCGACATCTAACGCAACCTATAAGCAAATTCCGGTTTCATACTTATACACCTTGTATACTAGCTCCCAAATATCGATTTTTTCAGTTATGGGGCTTTAATCAAAACTACGTCAAAAAAGAATTAAAATTTGGAAAATTTTTTTACACACGTATCTACAAATATACATTTAAAATATAAATCGACGAAATCGAACGACTATAACATATAGCTCCCTTACAACCGATATATTTGTTCAGTGGTGAGGTTATTGGTAAAACATCCGTCGATTAAGCATCTAAGAGTATAAAATATTTCATTCCTCAAACATACATACTACTCGTATATACAAAAAAACATTGCCACAGGAAATCATCGAAATCGTCGTACTATTTCATATGGCCACCATACAACCGATATGTTCGGAAATGAGGTTTTTGGGACAAAAAAAGAACCGCCAAAAAACATAAAGAGTCGTGAGATTTGAAATACCACAAATTTGATATGTTCATGAAAGGTATAAAGACTTTAGCATGGCCTTAAAAATTTGTAAATATTATGAGGAATTTTTAAAAGTTTCCTCGAATTTAAAATTTCGGCCTTTTCAAATTCATATCGTGGTGCAGGTTATTTCCGAACAGAAAATTTAGAAAAATTATTAAAAATCGATACAAATCTGAGTAGAAGGTTAAAACTCCACTAGCAATATTTTTTAAGAACATTTAACCCATCTAAAAGAGTTATTTTGGCAATTATTTTAAAATTTCCCAGAGAAAACTATTTTGGAAGCTTCAAAGTGTTACAGAGTTCAAGAAAATGTGTTTTTCGGAAAATCATTTATTTTATGTTTCTAAAAACAACCATTAACTAAGCAAAACTCTAGTACGGTATGTAAATAATCTTAGGTAAAGTAAAAGGTTCGTTCGGTTTTTTATTGATTTTTCAAAATATGATATGTGGCCAGGCGTTCTCTTGATGGAACACAATTTGGCCTCTGTTGATCAAAGATGGCCTCTTCGGGATGAGTACTGCACTTCAAGCGGTCCATTTGTTGGCAGAAGAGGGCCGAATTGAGCGTTTGGTCATAGGGGAGTAGCTCGTAGTAGATGATTCCTTGCCAATCCCACCAAATACACAGCAAAACCTTCCTGGCCATCTATCGTCTGGGCCACTTCCCAGAGCTTTTACCACGACGGTTTGCGCTCGATGTTGTCGTAAGTGACCCATTTTTCATCGTCAGCCAATCCGCTTCAGAAACGGGTCGAATTTGTAGCGACTCAGCAGCGATTCGCAAATGGAAATTCGGTCCATCATCTTTTTTTGCGTTAGTTCGTATGGCACCCAAACATCGAGCTACTTTTTGAATCCAAGGTTATGCAAATGATTCCAAAACGGTTTTCTGGCTTATCTTTAGTTGCTCAGCAATTAAATGGTGTCCATCTTTGACAACGTCCTGGGTCAATCAATCGAAAACCTGTCAAAGATCAACTTTTAGCATGACATGATGCGACACGTAACACTAGTACTATGGACTATAGTGCCATCTCTTAGATAAAAACCGAACGAACTACACCTAAGATTTTGGAAAATTATCGACTTATGTTCTTCTTATATGGATAAATATCAACATGCTCGTTATTCAATATTAATTATTAATTTCATTGCGCAAGTGTTTAAGAAACTATGAGTCAAATACTAAATTTAGAGAACATATTGGTGTTTCCGAGAGAGAGTATTCCAGGAAATTATTTTTCAGACGGTTTTCGAAGATAAAATCTTTATACAAAGAAATATAGTAAAAAAAGAAACAGAGAACTTCGCCCAGAACTATTTGTGAGACTGAATGTTTGTCGTATGTAAATAATTTTGGTCGCTAAACAAAAAAATTTTAAATTTTTGTAGCTTTTAAAAAAAGTCCAATGTGGGTTTCATTACTGGATAGTACTGAATGTGCATAAAAAACTATTGGAAAAGGTTTTTTTAATATATGGCTTATGAATATGATTCAAATCTCTCAAAAAAATTAAATATTCATCGCATACTAATCACAAAAACTCCTAAATTCTAAATTACAGGCTGCAAATGTGCCACCCAATCTCAGAGTGGACGCTGTGCCTGCGGCTCTTCATGCAAATGTGCTACAAACAAAAAGTAATTTGCATATCTTCGTTTATGTACTACAACTATGTACACGTATGTTTACAACGGTAAGGCAAAAAAAATCTAAAATCAAAATCAACGTAACTGAACAAATAAATTATGCATCGCTTAAATTGTTTCCGCAGCAGTGATAAATACATTATGTACATACGAGTACATACATATGTAAATATATACATCGGAACCTAACAAAAACTCTTATGTAAACTTTGCATTATCATGTACAACTTAAAAGAAAGAAAATAAAATTCATTGACCTCTAAGAAAATACACTAAATGTTCTTAATTGAAGCAGATCCACTGATCCAATTGAGATCCAACCAGACGAAGTGCAATAAAATATATTTCATTATCTGGCTCTCAAAAGTTGATTGTTGCATGTCGTGAGTTGAGTGAATGAGCATTTGTTGTCGAAAAAAAAAACTTGTTGCACATCGTTGATGAAATTCAGAAGAGCACTAAATGACTTTTTTCGAAATTACCTTTGCTGCTGTTTTCAAAACCTATAACTCAAAAATTAATACTGTCATGAGACTCTAAGAATTTCTAGGAAATTCTTTTTTTTAATGCAAATGCAAATCAAATTAAAAAACAAACTGTTCAACTAAAATTATTTTTTCATAAAATCTATAAAATTTTCTCTTTATACCGTTCTTCACTGCACCAACGACACGATTGTATTCTACAACACACATACATATGTTGATATGTACAACAGTTCTAGTAGCTTCTCTATATGTTGGCATTTACGGTACATTATTTGCTATTGCTCAATTTGAACACAAATAATGCGACATTTTTTTTTTATTAGGTTGTCAAATATCTCCCTTCCGCTTTTTTGTCTTTTGAATTTCGCGGCTATGTACAAAGCGCTACAGAGCTCGTATCTGGCAACACTATACATAATTTGAAAGGTCTTGACATAACCTACAAAACAACGCTATGCATGATTAGTTTGGATATTGCGTTCAACAGTTATAGACGTGTAAACATGGAGTTCTCTAACGCCGAAATTCGCGCTATTTTAAAGTTTTCCTTCGTTAAAGGCAAATCCGCTAGAGAAACGTTCCGTGAGATTAATGGTGTTTTGGGGGATGGTACTCTATCACTTCGAACCGCGGAGGAATGGTTTCGACGATTCAGAGCCGGTGAAAACGACACCATGGATAAGCCAGCCGGCGGAAGACCTGTGACGACAAATACCGATCAAATCATGGAATACATCGAGTTAGACCGGCATATGGCATCTCGTGACATCGCCCAGGAGATGGGAGTTAGTCACCAAACCATTTTGAACCATCTGCAGAAGGCTGGATACAAAAAAAAGTTTGATGTTTGGGTGCCGCATAATTTGACGCAAAAAAACCTTCTGGACCGAATCAACGCCTGCGATATGCTGCTGAAACGGAACGAACTCGACCCATTCTTGAAGCGGATGGTGACTGGCGACGAAAAATGGATCACATACGACAATATCAAGCGAAAACGGTCGTGGTCGAAGGCCGGTGAATCGTCCCAAACAGTGGCCAAGCCGGGATTGACGGCCAGGAAGGTTTTGCTGTGTGTTTGGTGGGATTGGAAGGGAATCATCCACTATGAGCTGCTCCCATATGGCCAGACGCTTAATTCTACCATCTACTGCGAACAACTGGACCGCTTGAAGCAGGCGATCGACCAGAAGCGTCCAGAATTGGCCAACAGGAAGGGTGTAGTGTTCCACCAGGACAACGCCAGACCACACACTTCGTTGATGACTCGTCAGAAGCTACGGGAGCTCGGATGGGAGGTTTTATCGCATCCACCATATAGCCCGGACGTAGCGCCAAGTGATTACCACCTGTTCCTGTCCATGGCGAATGCCCTTGGTGGTGTGAAGTTGAACTCAAAAGAGGCTTGTGAAAAGTGGCTGTCCGAATTCTTCGCAAATAAGGAGGGGGGCTTCTACGAGGAAGGTATTATGAAGTTGCCGTCTAGATGGAAACAGATCATCGAACAAAACGGCGCATATTTTAACTAAATCCGATCACTGTAACACTTTTTATAAAGCATTGAATGAAGAGCAAAAAAGCGGAAGGGAGATATTTGACCACCTTATATTAAATCTCTCCAACGAGTACGTAAAACATTAAGCATACAAATATAGATATTTATATCTGAGTGATAGGTGGGAGCGAAATTGATGGCATGATCTACTACATGTAGGCTTCATTGAGGAGAATGAATACCAGCAAGAGGCAGGGGTATCAAAACATTATTCTTTTTTTCGTTAGCTCTTAAATCTTAAATACTTTGGTTTGTTATTTAGAAGATGAGGTTGAGAACACACTTCATTCGCTGAATAAAGGATTAATTTCAATAGTCCAAGGCTTTCAAACGGCTAACTGTTAGCGCTGCTTCATAGTTCATGACACTTTATAACCGCTCAAGCGATTTTCTACCGTGCTCCTCCTCCAGTTTTTTGTGTACATTTTGATATTTTTTTTTAACAAATGAAGCGACCACCAATCAATTCGAAGTCGCCTCCGAACAGATGATGGATTTTTATAAGAAATATTTTTTCTTGTCAGAAATTGAGTTGAAATGTCGACCTCCATTTCCTGCGGAGAAGCAACCGCAATTAGAAAAATTAATTTTCTACAATTTTAGATATTGGTCTGAATTGGCTACATAACACTTCACTTATACACCTCCAATATTTCAAGTGTTGTGATTTTGATGTTTACCCTGAGATGGGATTGCGAGATTATACGCTTAATCTACTTTATTTAAGTTCTCCACTGAAAACAGCTTGACAAGACTATCCACAGTTGCGGTATTGAAGCCAGAGTATGCCCACTTGTGGAATGCTACATACAACCCGTCTATTGTTCAACACATGACTCAACCAAGTAAGTGTGCATTATTAAAACCTCCTCCAATAATAATTTTTCGCCGCCAAGGTGTCCTCCGACTATTTCATTTAGGTCGATATGAACCAATTCATCATTGACACAAGTATGAGTTGTTTAATTCAATCATCGCTTATATTTCCAATTCTTTTAAAAGGGAAGATTTATCGGCTTATTTGATTTCGATAAAAATTAATCCCCCTACCAGGCTTATGCTGACAATCACCTTGATTTCTTGCAGTGTATACAGTTCTGCAACGCTGTGGGTTGCTTTATTGAGCGGAAAGTGTACGGCAAATAAATATACGTCCGGTCTTCTAAAATTTGAGACTTTTGCTCCGTATTTCGAATCTATTTTAAATAAAATTTCAAAGACTTCAAATAATTTTTACCATATTACTCAGAATCGAAATTCAGATCAAGCTCTGTCTGAAAGTACAAGTGCAAAAAATATTAATTTCTCATGGACCTACCTATGTATAGCTTTAAAAAACTGGAGATAGGGCTTCATAAGTAGTTGTCTGGTGTTTCAATGACGTAGGCTTCTGACAACAGAAATGTCCACTGTTGTTAAACACTTGTTTTTTGGGTGTAATTGCCTTTCTTTAACAGTCTGATGATTCTCGAATTCTCTCAAATGCGGTAAATTTGATTATCTACGTATCGCTGTCGCTGAAGAAAATATTATTCGAAAAGTCGCTGTAAGCCGCTTTTTGTTCTAGCGCCCAATCGACGTATGTACGGCACTGCGTATTTTCAGCTGGCTGGATGAGTTAGACTTTACATAGATATTGGCGTTAATCTAACTCTTAAAAACGTCGAGGAACAGGCACAATCGGGCCCTCGGCCACACTTTCCCTAACTGTAGCGGTATTTGAGATGGAACGAGCAAAACGATTATGCACAGCAATTAGAGTAGCTGTAACCGATACAATCTCTTAAAATTTCTTTCTTAAAAATTACGAAATGCTTGAGTAGGTGAACGATTTTGTGTACCTCTTAAAGCACGAAACGTGGCCACGTTTAAATCAATATTTTTGGTGTAGATTTTAACATTTTTAACGCATTGTGCAGTTGCTAAGCGATTCATTTTCAAAAATGCCCGACTTTAAACTAAAATAAGACATGTTTGGTTTGACAGTAAATTTGACAGAAGCCAAAATAAAGCCCTGTACTTTTGAAACCACGAGATGGTTAACCTACATGGATTGCATCGGATGCATGGATTGCTTGTCTATGTGAATGAAAGCAATTCGCCACGTAGATCTTAGAATTTCAACTAAATCAATCACTCTCATTTTATGGTTTCTGAAACAATTATTAACTAAACAAGACTTTAGTACGCTATGTAAATAGTATTTTGAAAAATTATTGACTTACGCCCTTCTTGTATTGATAAATATCAACATGCTTGTTATTCAATATGAGTTATTAACTTAATTTACGCAAGTGTTTAGGAAACGCTGACTCAAGCACAAAACCAGAGTGAGATAACCAATTGAGAGAACATACTCGAATTTCAATTAACAACGACGTGACGAAACCCACAAGCCACAGACGCTCGAACACTCATCCACACAACCGAAAGCTTGGCCCTTTGCGCACTGCACTACAAACCAGCCCAGAGAAAAGGCGTGAAAGACGAAATGAAAATAGTTTCGAATGAACCAGAAGAGTAAGTTCTCAGTAGGTAAGAAAAGAAAATTTGTTATTGTATTTACTCGTTCTACAATTGCATATAAAAGCATAACACAACCGGCTTTCGTGAGCAGTGAGCGAGCAATTGCATTAGATAAAGTAGTAGACGGAACGATTTATTAACGCAAATCAGTTTTATCCAAATAACAAAAAGAAAAAAATAAACAAATTAGTTAAAATGCCGTGCCCCTGTGGAACTGGTGAGTTGTTGTACTATCGCAAAACCAAAAAAAAAAATAATAAATAAATAAAATACTCTCAGAATATCTAAAGGCTTTTTATTAAATTTATAAAAATTCCTTTAAAGGTTGCAAATGCGGCACTCAAGGCCAAGGCAATTGCGGTTGCGGTAGCGGATCCTGCCAATGCGGCAGCGGCAAAGGTTGCTGTGGCAAGTAAAGAGGACATGGAACTGTAGAATCGGCTACTTGGAATCTTAGAATTAACATTATGTAGTGAATATGTGAGAGCCACGAAATATCGAATTCATATCCCATTCGCTAAGTTTTTATTGAAAATTTCATTAAGTAAAAATCATGCATCGCAATATTTAGTATAATCAAAAGTATTTAAATTTTTTTTCAATATACATACATATTTATGCAAAAAATATTTCAATGAAAAAATTACTAAATTAAAATTAAAAATCTATTGCATAAAATTCTAGTGTCTTAGTGTTTGTAACTCCCCCGGAAACGGCTGCATGGATTTTTATGAATTTGTTTTTTTTTTTTGTATATGTCGGATCAGCCAACATCTATTTTTCACACCAGGAAGTGGACCTAGGTGTGGCCTTTTGTTCAGCTATGGACCGGTTACAGATGTTGCAGAGTCTGTGCAACATCGTTTTGCTCGTTGAAAGTGCAGCCGAAGAGCCGAAAATGTCTTATTTCTCGGCGTTCTCATGCTTGCACTTGCACTTACACCTAAAACCATACAAAGTCCCGCTCAAACTAAAACTGAAGACACCTGACCATTCACAACGCCGTATATAGTGCGTCGATTGGGTGCTGGAACAACAAGCTTATTCAGCGTCGAGCCACATTTCTCATCCGGCAATATGTAAATAAGCAAAATTGTCGCATTCGGGACTCAGAGTATCCTCAAATAATTGAAGCGAAGCTTCATTCTGTAGGTTATGGTCGTGTGATAATCGACTTTTTTTTGGCCAGCAATTGAAAACACCTACGACAATATGTGGTTTCAATAAGATTGTGCCACATGCACATGCCACAAGTTTTTTCGTGTGAACTTTGTGGGCTTTGAAAACCAACATTCGCGAAGTTAGGGCTGAGATATCGCCCAAAATGTGCAAAAAACTGGTCGAAAAATTCGCAAGACAGTCATTTTAATGAGTGTTTCCCTTATTAGACCAAAAAGCAACAAGTAATTTTATAAAAAAACAAAATATTTTAATTGTATTTAATTTACGTTTATTTTTGAAACCGCAAAATAGATAACCCAGTTTTAACACTTTTCCGGCCATGGCCATAAACCACAGATCAGATTTGCCTCGACCCATTCCATAATCCGATAGATGGCAACCATGCGTTGACTCAAGCTGAAGGAACGGCTCGACCGTTTGGGCCAAGTTTGTCTTAATTATTAGGTTTTTAAGATAAAAGGAAGTGAGCTAGGGATTTATATGATTTATACGATGAATTCTTATTTATTATTGGTGTTGATTCACTTGAAATTCATTGGGAAGCAGACGACCTAACACCGATAAATTCGGAAAAAACCTTTTGCTTGAACTTGTCTTTCCTGAAACGACATAGTTAATTCATAGACTGATATTCGCCAGGGTGTGATCCTTTTACATATATGGAAGTTCAAGTAGCTAATGTCTTCTGGTTCTAACAGGAAAAGAAATAGGATGTCTTCTTCTACGAAAATTACATCGCACTTTATGAGCGTCGCGATTGTCATGATATTAAAATCGTCCACGTCAAGTAAATTCGGAAAATTCAGAAATATTCATCAAACTACTGGGAAGAAGGAAGACATATCTCAGCCGACAAACACAAAAAAAGTCTGACTTCGACATACAAGCGAGCCTTTCTTTGAGAGCTTTCATCAAATATTCAATTTGGGTAATTGATAAAATGTTCAGTGATATTTCACGGCTTCTGGATGATGTCGATAAGGAATCAACATGATTATGCCGAGATCGATAAGACACCTGATACACGACTAAATGTCGAGGAGATGTTCAAATGACGCTTCGGAGAACGGATAAGGGGCATTCGGATTGCGGTGTGCTGAAAGAAGAAAGGATTTACCTGTTGCCCTAAGCAATTTAGATTATCAAAGGTGATAGCCCGCTCCGCAGAGTCGGCTATCGTGGTAGTCGCAAGAACGTTGCTAAAACCTCTTCACAAAAAACATCTAAGACATCAGCATATCAATATTTCAAAGTGGCAGGTCCTCACTACAGAGGGAGTTCAAGATGTGCATGGCTATATCATCCGAGTGACCGAAGAAGTATCGGTAGAACTACTAGGTTTAAACTCGGAACTCAAAAATTTAAATTCTCTTCTTAATATTGTTTAATTTTATAGCTCGCAAGTTCTTCCTCCTCCCCTCTAAAGTTTGGATAACGATACGAATTCACAATCCTGTCCTGATGCCTCTTTTGACATTACGTTGAGTGTTTATGTTTTTAACCGAAAACCATTAATTTTTTATTCAGAACACGATTTTAATACCAAGTGAACCTTCTTCCCTGCGCTGTTTGTCGTCCATCTTTCCAACCGAATGGAGGTATACATTTTACCCTGCTTCCACTGGAGAGTGTAGTGAAACTTTCGCACTTGGAATACTTTCGGTCATTCTGACGTCAGGATCTCGCCACTAGTATGCAAAGAACCATAAAACGTTCGCAAAATCTTTATCTCGAAAACTCCTAGTGCCAATCCAGCGAATTTCGTCCACGCTACGGTGCCACATAACAGAAAGGGGAGTGATGAGAAATTACTCAGTCCAAAGTAACACCTATTGGAAACGCTAACATTATAAATGATGTTAATGCTCGTCCCCCAATACCAAATTATGACTGTCAGCAGCGACGTTTGAGTCATGACGCGAGTGCGCTGACAGTTTGTTTGATGAACAGATATATTGTCTTCTTATCTTTCATTACCTCATTTGGTACTGAGTAAAGAACATTCCCAATTCTGACTACGCTTCTAGTTCTGGTAAACACCAGGTTAATCACACGTATAAGTTTTGCAGGTCTCAGACAGAGAGGTGGTTTGTTTCAATTCGTTTCTAAATAGTCTTTTCGAAGATTTGACGAATGGTAAATATCTGGTCAATGGTTGATTTACTAGGACTGAAGCTATACTGATAAGGGCCATAATATGCACATACCGATTGTCTCTCTTCACAAATCACTGCTGGAGCACGTTTTTGGGTGTCCTTCATGAGGAGAAAGGCAAACTATTAAGAGAAAAATAATGTCGGTGGGTTTAAATTAAAAAAAAAAAATTATAAAAAAAAGTCCTACACACAAGGGCTAAACATTTTCGAGCAGCTCAAGCATTTGAGCAACGAATACTCGCACATTCGTTCATTGTTCTCTACTCGAAAACTCTCGGGCACTCGTTCGAGCAAAACGGGGTTTTCCGGCATTTTTAGCAAAAACTTATGGCTTTTTTCAGAACCTCATTTTATAAGTTAAAAATTATTTATAGAAATTGAAAATTGAAATATTTCAAGCAAACACGTGAGCAGTTGTGCAACGAACGAGTATCGAGCGGGTATCTAGAGGTCAATACTACAATATAAAGGGTGACTTTTTAAGAGCTATAGGAAAAATTTAATTCAGTGTTTAAAGATTATTTCATGCAAATCTTGACCGTGACTGTGCCTCGAATGCCCCAGCCGCTTAGCCCAATTTTGGCATACCTTTTCCAACATTTCGGCAGGTATCTCATGAATAAATGCCTCAATGTCGTCCGCCAATGCGTCAATTCAAGCGGGTTTCTCTGTATAGGTATTAGATTTAACAGAACCCCACAAAAATAGTCTAAAGGCGTTAAATCGCACGTTCAAGGCGGCCAATTGAACCGAACGTGAAATAAAAAGTTCATCGAACTCGCCTCTCAATAAACCCCTTGTTACGCGTGCTGTATGGCATGTGGCACCGTCTTGTTGGAACCACATATCATAAGTTATAGACCGAACTAAAGATGTTTGACAGCGATACAAAACAGAAAAAAGTGCGTCAGCTGTTTAAGCCCTTGTTGCGAAAAAGATAATTGCTAAAAAAAAAATCACCCTTTATAATATTTCGAGTGATATTGGCCAAAGCTTGACCTAGATTTATTCCATTGTGCGTTAATTACTTAAATAATAATAATTATATGATACATATATACTAAAAACATTAATTATAAAAAAATATAATATCACCAAAGTATACAACAACAATATTTATACTAAAAATACTTATGAAGGCATTTTAACAAAACATTCCTTGTAGCACGTGTATGTGTGAATTTATCTACAAATGACTTGACCGCGAAAACACCCTTCAAAAAGTTCCAATTAATTTTAGTCACACTTAAATAAACACCAACAAAACTCGAAAAAGCTTCATTTAATAACAATATTTTGAGCCAACCGTTTAACAAAATCAACATTGAGAAAATTCGCCATCCAAGTGAGTAGCGACTTCTTGGGTGGACGACAGTGACGCAAGCCCGCCTCTTGGCAACAAACATTCGGAAAGCAGTCCAGTGTGGAAGCACAGGTTTTTGGATGTAAATCGAAGATGGGCGGCGGTGGTGGCGTACACTCCAGATACTCGGATACTAGGGTGAAAGGTGAAACTTTAGTTTGTATTTACTGCATAATGATTGAAAAAAGTAACTAACAATAGTTGAAAGAACGTTTCACCGGCACAGGTACCGTCTCCAATTCCGGTTGTGATGTTCTACAATAACGTTTATTACCATCTGGACAACAAACACGCGGCCAACAGTCCATATCCGTTTCGCATTCCTGTACTTGCCACCAAAGCTCTGCCAAAGGACGCGTGGGACATTTGCGTGGTATCAAACCCAAAATGGCTACAGTGAAAAAAAATATATATACAATATATTAAAAGAATAAAAAAAAATTATAATATTTTTTTATTTTTTTTTTATTGGAATTTCATTTTTTGTAATATAAATTTTAAATCATTTGCCTTACGTGTATGGGAAGTTTCCTCAAGTGGTTTTGCAATGCCGGAGACGCAGCTTTTTGCGCCAAATATTTCGCAACACAACTCGTTGCGATTCCACACGGTGCAATCCTCATCGGTTTTACATATTTTCGGGAACAGCTGAAAGCGTACCTCGCTCTCGCGTGGGCACTCAAACTGGATACGTAGATTTTGTACTATATCTCGTTTATCCTTTTCGCTGACATTATCTTGGGTCCTTTGTGATTGGGCACCGAAAAAGTTAAAAGTTGGCAAGGCAATACGAAAGGGACCATCTGTCGTGGTAGTGCTCTTTTTGGCTGGTGCAAGTGTGGTTGTGGCAATTTCTTTCGGCAATATTGGAGCTATTGTTGTTGGTTTAACCTTTTTCCTTCCCTTTGTCGGTGTTGGTGCGGTTGTTGTCGTCGTTGTTGTTGTTGTTGTTGTCGTCGTTGTCGTTGTCGTTGTTGTTGGTGGTGTATATTTCTTTGGTGGTTTTTTAGTTGATGATGTTTTAGGCGGACTTGAAAGGCCCCAAAGTGAGGGCGAGAAAAAGCTGAAGGGATTGTTTAGCGCTAAATTGGGTAATACTAGAGCTGGAGCTGGAATGAATTTGAAGAATAAATATATGTATGCACATGAATATATATAAATCTCTTTATTATTAAAAAAATAAATAAAAATTTAAAAATAAGTATAGCTTATATACTCTAACCAACACGTGAAAGCCTTGGTCACGTCTAAAAGAGAGGAAACTTCATTGATGGCACTTGGACTTATTCGGATGCGATTTTCTCTAGACTGGATAAGGAAGCAAGTATATGGATCTGGTAGTGAACGAGGGAAAGTCGTAGAGAACTTCTTCTATCGTGGAGCCAGTATTCGCACCAACACCAATGTTAGACTGGAAATCCAACGAAGAATCCCACTTGCCAAGAGACGTTACTTCAGACTGAGTAGGAAATTGAAAAGGAAAGTCCTCTCTCGATGAACGAATACCAAACTCTACAAGTCACTTATCGTCCCGGCCGGCTATATAGTGCGGAGCCATGCACGATGACAACATCTAATGAGTCGGGTTTTGCGTAAAATTTATGGTACGATCGAATAATGAATTGTCTGAAATATATGACAACATTGCCACAGTTTAACGAGTCAAGAAACAGCGGCAAGAAGCTCCAGGAGTTCGGATGGTAGGTCCTAATACACTCACCTTATAGTCCGGACCAAGCACCAAGTGATTACCATCTTTTCCTGTCCATGACAAATGCAGTTAATAGTGAGAAGTTGGCTTCAAGAGAGGCCTGGGAAAATTGGCTCTCCGAGTTTTTTGCCAATAGGGATGCGGCCTTCTACGAGAGGGGTTTGATGAAGTTAACATTCCGTTGGCAACAAGTTTACGAATAAAATGGCGCATATTTGACTTAAATCGGACAAATGTACGCAAAATTATCATATTTTGAAAAATCAATAAAAAAAACCGAACGAACTTTTTACTTGACCAATATTTAATCCTAATTTGCAATAAATGAAAGGTACGACGTGGCATGAAGACAGCTCTTCCTTCTTGTATTAAATTAATTTTTAATAAATTTGGACATTGTCAGGATACGAACCCGAGACCCTTCCCGCAGCAGGCACGCACTGCTAGCCACTCAACTACAGCAGTCGCACTATAATTGAATGCTTGAAAAATTTAGCAGAAAAAAATGCTAAAATGCTTGTTCTTCTTATGCACATGCATATGAATTATTTATGAATACATTTGTACATATGTATGCATGTATGTATGTGTGCACACATGTGTTGTAAATGTTCCATTTTATCTTATGGCTTTGCAATAAATGTTAATTTAAATAAATTGCCTTAAGTACAAACATATATACATAATTGCTTAGACTGCAATCATAATTGAGCGAGCAAAGAGTCAAGTTCAAGAGCATAATACTCATATGAAAATGCAATGTATATACATATATACATGCGATTATGTAGATTATATGCAAAATAACCATAATCTTTATAGTAATCTACTCATGGGAGTGAATTTTTAAAAGTAGTATTGAAATTATTGCCCCATAAACTGGTATTTAATCGGTTTTCCATGGACATTTAGCACCTAAAGCTTAGAGAATGTGCAGGAGGAATGAAGTTTAAAGACTCAGACAACAGCATCGCAATTGATCAAGGTTCTTTGTACATATTAGATATGTGCTACATAATCAAGGTTGCCATGAAATCATCTGAATATATGCGAGTTGAAAGAATTAAACACACTTTCGTCGAATTATAAACTAAAGCATTGAAGGACAAGAACTAGAATGAGAAGCCTACCACTCGATAAAACTGTTGGAGCACTATTTGATTGCTGCAGACATATTTAAGAGTAAATATGTAACTGGTTACTCTAATTGTAATTTTCAAAATATTAATTTTTTTTTTAATTTCATTTTCGTCATGTACATGTACATTCAAGTAAATACTCTGAAAATTTCAAGTCGATCCGACTGTTATTTTGGAAATGACACGCATATCTGTAACGACGGTAAGCTGGTGTGGCACACATCATCTGCTCATACAAGGTATGTTCAAAAAGTATCGCGAATTTTGAATTTTCGCAGATTACGTATAATCTGTGGAAGAACAAAAATTGGCTTTTGCACCACGATAACGCCCCTGCTCTCACATCGTTGCTTGTGCGCGACTTTTTGGCCAAAAACAACACACTAATGATGCCGCAGCCACCGTATTTCCCAGATCTGGCTCCCTGTGTCTTTTTCTTGTTCCCTAAACTGAAGAGGCCCATTAAAGGACGACGTTACGCTAAGTTTGACGAGAGTTTGATAAAAATAATTGATTTTTTGAAGTGCTTCGAAGATTGGAAAAACCGTTATATTATATTTCACGAGGATTACTTTGAAGGGGACAGAATACATATTCATGAATAAATAAATAATTTTTGAAAAAACGCGAAATTCGCGATATCTTTTGAACATACCTCGTACCTATAACCTCGTTATTCTCAAAACTGTGTTCTTCGGGAACGACTGAACCGAATACTCTCAAATTTTTTACACGGACTTCGGAACAATGTTATCTAGTACTTAATGAAAACTTTTCCATTCCATTACCGATAAAAAAAAAGCTTCATTTGCGCATCAAGACCAAAACTATAGAGAAAAACTGAATTTTTTTGTTTGAGAAGCCGCCATTTTGTCAAAAAATTTTTTCTAGCTATTCCTTCGAATAATCGCAGGATTATACATTACTTTAACGAAATCTCTTTAATTTTTGCATTTCAAATGATTCACTTCAGAAATACAATGGTCACCGCAAAATGCCTTCTTTGGGAAGAGTCCCTGGAGAACTGCTGTAGCAGCTTCAAAAACAGTTATTTTTAAAAATAAAAAATTGCTAACTACTCTTCAAGGATACCATAATATGTGTACAAATGCTCAAAATAATAAAGCTAAAAACAACCTCATTCTTTAGGGCTCCTAACTATAAGTAGGACGAGTTTAAAGTGCTATATTCACTTATGCCGAAGCCTTCATACCTTAGGAGGCGTCCTTAAATCTAATAGCTCGCCTAAGAGTGAGAACGGGTTAGTTTTAATACTGCACAATCCATGTAAGCGGAGGAAGGAAGTAAGAGCAAAGCTATGAAGTTTTCTTTAGATGAAAAAATAATTGCATATAATTTAACAGATTGCACTTATTAAATGATTGATTAACTGTTACTAAATTTAAATTTAATCCTAAGGTATATTAGAAAAGCACATAATTAAAAGTTTTGTCAGAATTCGAGGTACAAAACATATTTCCGCCGGCCCAGTAGCTTAATGGCGGACGCCTGACTTACCAATAAATCTAAAGTTTTTTCTTAAAGCGGTCGCCTGTCGGCAGACATTTTCATGTTTTTTTTTACTTTAGTCTTTATGTACATAAGTACCGGAAGAGAAAAGATAAAACCATCTACATTTACCCCGACCGTGAGTTGATGTAGCCGTGTCAGTCCCTCCGTTCATCTGTTTGTACGCAAAATTACTTATTTACTTTATTGGCGTATACACCGCTTACGCGATTATAGCCGAATTTGTAACATTGCACAATTAGAGATACCTAGAAGAGCCAGGTCCCTGTCTATCTGGTCCTTCCAACGGCGTGGAGATCTTCCTCTTCCTCTGCTTTCACCGGCGGGTACTGCATCGAAAACTTTCAAAGCCGTAGTATTGTTATCCATACGGACCATGCGACCTGGCCAGCGTAGCCGCTCTGATTCGCTGAACCATGTCAATGTCGCTGTATATCTCAGACAGCTCATCATTCCATCGGATGCGGCATTCGAAGTTACCAACTAGTAGAGAACCATAAATCTTACGCCAAACTCATAACGCTCTTTTCATCGTCCATCGTGTTTCTGCGTAGAATTTCCAGGCTGACTTTGTTGTTGGTGTTAATACTGGTTCCCAGATAGACTAAGTTATTTACGATTCCAAGTTATGAGTGTCAACAGTGAAGTGGGAGTGTGTGATGACAGGAGATATTTCGTTTTAAAATCGACGAAGAGGTGATGGGTGTCGATCCTGTATACACGAGTATTTTCGAAGATCTGGTACATGGTGAATATCAGGTCAGTGGTTGATCAATCAGGTCTAAAGCCACATTGATAAGGTCCAATCAGTTTGTTGACGGTGGGCTTTAGACTTTCACACAATGCGCACTGGCATTAAAATCGCCAAGCACGATTTTCACATCGTGTCGGGAACAGCGCTCATAAGTATGCACTGGGCGCTCATAAAAGTCATCTTTGGCCAAATCCTACTCACTTTTGTCGTTGCCTCGTCCATCGCACTTCTTAGATGGCGGTGTTGTCAACCTTTATTCTTATGAGGACATCAAACAGCTGGGAGCGGCACCCTCCCAATTAAGGAACCGAACATTCCAGGTGCATGCCCTCAAATCGTGATACTTAATTCGTATGAGGGGGTCGTCAACAGAAAGGGGATAACTCATCTGAGGCGTTGTAAGTTAAAGTGAATACAGTTTATTATATCGAGTTGCTTGCTTCAAGGCCGACGCGACGGCAGGCGCTGCAATTAGACTTCAAGACCCAAGGCCCCACACGGTTTGATTACCGCATAAGAAAATAAATGCTGCAACTCCTCATTTTACATACCTTCCACCCATAGCAACCTATCTTATGAGACCGTTACTGACGGTTGACGCGCAGAAAATAGTCGTGTTTGTACATTCTATTACAGTCGGGAGTTATGTTTGCGCGGTATGTAAGATGGGTGGTTGCAGCATGAATCGTCTATTACGTTAAAGGATCGTCAGTAAATGATGATAAAAGACGGTAAGAAACTACAGAAAAAGATGGCGATTTCGATGACGAGCATACCACAAAAGTGTCATCTGACGATACTGTTGACGTTGGCGTTGAACGGCTTGACAATGTTACCATATCGTAATATCCACTGACGATGATCGTCGTAAGACCGATAAATTTTGGGAGATTTTTAGCTTTGATGTTGTAGAAGAATTCATCTATCTTGGAACCATCAGCCTTGAACTCAACTGACAATCAGCTTTACCAACAGGTATGGCTTCGACTGCAGTACATATTTGTAATATGAAGTCCTCTCTCTTCAACCTTTACCGGTATGTGTGAATTAAGAGACTTTTGGTAGGTTTTTAGCTGAGGCAAAAATACTAAAATTTCCACTTTCAAGATGTTGAGTATGTGAGGTTAAAAAAAACACCACGAAAGTTTACACTATTGTAGATTCGGCTACCACACAGTAGCAGGGAAAACAATTGAGAAAATAATAAAGAGCAGAATATGCAATGAACAGAGCCGAATATGTACGAGTATATGGTGAAATGCTTATAAGATGCATTTACTCCTATGTATATACATATGCATGTGTGTGTGCGTTTGCAAGTATTGTACACATAAATGTTTTAACATTTCAGCTTAAACATTTGTAATAATAATTGAAGCATGCTGTGCTCAATTTCTAATTTCCCACCAACAATTTCCAACACCTTTCGAAACTGCTTTTTTACAAATTCCATTCACTTTTTGCAAAATTACAAGAGTGTTATGTACAAATATATATATACATAGGAGCATATATATGTATATTTTGAAAAATGAAACAATGTAAACGATGTACCGATGCATTTGGGGAAAACAAAAGAGTTTTCATTGAAAAGGAAAAAATTCACCAAACAATAAATGGCAGCAACTTCACGTTCTGTTTCGCAGCGAAGTGCTTGTTTTTTTTTTTTTTTGTAAACTTAACAAAGTTGCAAACGCATACAAAAATATATGTATATTACATACCTATTTACATATACGTGTACATACATACGTAGTTTTTGAAAGTGGGCAGATATAATTTAATTACCAACAATTGGGGCACAAGCACAGGTGTGCCATACACTTTTATAGCTGCATTTCAATGCATATCTGTTTATATACTCGTATATGTATGTATCAAACATAAAAATAATAGTATTACTAATATTAAATAGTGGCAATCGCAAAAAGTGCAGCAATAGCAACCGTGGCAAACAATAATGGCACTGGCTCTGCTGCGCATGCGCGATGGGCGCTTGTCTTCGTATGCGTTACGCGCACAAGCTGTTACAGAAAGAAGTTTACAGTGCGATTTATAATGAGACTAATAGTTTGGTGTTTATGTTTTTGAAGGTAAAGGGTGTTTTTTTTTTTGGTTATATGTGGTTTTCAAGAAGAATAAAATACATATCATTTAATGTTATGGTTAAACATTTAGGTGTACCATTATTTCTTTTAAGCTATTTTCGACAAGTATCCGCCACGGCTATCAGGAATAAATTCCAGTCAGGATGCGCAATTTTCGTCAACTTTTTGCAGCAATTGGGCCGCATGGCAGCAATAACGCGCCGAATATTCACTGCCAAGTCGTCAATCAGCTGCGTAGAGAAGCGATTTTATATGCCCGCACAAAAAATAGTCCAGCGGCTTAAATCCCAACAGCTTGGAGGCCACGCCACAGGCCACAGTTTTCTTCAACAAATTGATTGTTTCGTTGCCTGTATTCCTAGCAGCGCCGTCTTGTCTTAACCCCAAGTCGTCCACATCATCCTCCTCCAATTAAGGTAAGAAAAAGTCTTAAATCATTGCCATCACCATTGAGTATAACCGATCATAATGGCTACTTTTTCGAAGAAATATAACTGAGGCTGTAGGGATCTTTCAATAATGGTTTGTGGATTTTCATCACTCGATATGCGACAAGTTTGCTTGTTATTATACCCATTCAACCGAAAGTCAGCTGCATCGCTGCATAAAATTTGCTTATTAAAATTAGAATCGTTGACCATCTCGTTTTTAGACACACTCACCGAGTGAGCAGCGGGCTTGATGGTCGTTCGGCATTTATTTTTGAACGAGTTGGATTTTGTAAGCCCGCAAAACAAGATCCTTCCGCAAAATCTTCTATAAAGTAACTGGGCACAGCTCCAATTGTTGCGTGTTTTTTCGTTACTCTCCTCCCCAACAGCAACAACGTCTTCGGTGTGCACTGTATGGCGTCTCTGAGAATGTGTATGAATCACTAGAGTAAACGTGGTGCGAAACCGTGTCTCGATTACTTGAATTAGCGTCTATGCTGGGCGATTATGACGACCGAATATTGGACGCCGCTCGAACTAAACCATTATTTTGGTAATAAAATTTGTACGATTTGCAAACGTTGTTCCGGAGGAAATCTGGTTTAAATTTTAATGGCAAGCTAAGCTGGGTATAAATCAAGTATCAACTGTCAAAAAGAACAACTGCAAAAAAAGGATCGTCTCATTGAAAACCACATTTCTTAGAAAAAAAAACACCCTTTATATATATACATATGTACTTATTTACTTATATGTATATATATATTAACCAAAAGACGCATAGCAGTTACCAAATTAAACAAAACAAAAACAACAACAAAGACAACGCTGTGATCTTGTCCACTCCAAACACAGTTCACAGATAAACTTGCATATGAACCCACATTTATACATATTTCTAACATACAATACGTTTGAAACAAATGAAAAAATATAATAAAATGCTTAAATCAAGTACGGCGATAAAGAAACGAGAGCAATAGCAAAAAATAAAAATAAAAAAAATAAAAAAAATAAGAAATAAAAAATAAAAAAATACAATGAGAAAAGAAATAAAAAAAATTAAAATTAAATCTTTTATACCAATTTTAGCATTTAAGCTAGGTCAGTGTCAGCCGCTGGTCGCTGCGTCTCTGCGCTCGTTGAATAAAAGAAACACACAAGCGCACGAAACGCACTCCATTAGTCAGCCAGTCAAAGTTTGTATGAATGTTGTAGCCTGATAGCTGCTAACAGCGCAACAAGCTGCACCCAAAACGCATTGGCTGAACCATAAGCGCAGATCAGCGTGATTTGTACTTTTTTCTTGACATTTTTTTTTCTTTTTTTCTTTTTTTTTCTTACAACTAAAATTTTCTTCACTTCACTTCGCACTTCAGCGGCATTTGCCTGTACGAGTCTGTTGTTGTTAGCCTCCAAACATTCTGTGTTCGATTTTTTTCTTTTTACTGAAGTCCCCATAGTCTCTAGAGAACAACTTTTGCAAAGTGCCTGCATTGCGTGTCGGCCTTTGGGTGTCATAAGTGCAATTATTTTGTTCTTGTTTTCTTCCTTTTTTTACAAAATTCAGCGGCAACCAGTTCTGCAAGAAGTTATTTTGCGTTACAGCTGAGGTGAATTTGCATTTACTTACTCGTACATACATTGTATTGTGTGTGTGGGAATGTTTGGTGTGACAAAATCCAATTATATTCGCATAAAAATTAAAAAAAAAAGTATTTATGGTCGTTGCTTGTGGCAAAGGATAAAGGAGTGTACCTTTTCTATGACAAAACTCCAGCTTACCCACCTCCCATTGAACACATCGCTGAGTGCATCTGAGAGCAAGCGAAAAATTCAACGAGCCGATGTTCGAGAACCTGTATAAGTTCTGAATCCACAACCAGATGTTGATCAAATGTTGTAGTTTTTATACGTATTTAAAGCTGTAACCAAACCCAAATCACAGAACCACAAGGAGTAAAACTTTCGTATACGAAACATTTAACATCAGAACTCGACCACATATACTACGAGTATAGATTACATATATAATTCGCGCCTTGTAACCGCTGAAGCGATTTTTCGGTCGAGCTCCGCCTCCGAACGGCATTGAGCACCCCTATAGGTACCTTATTGAAGCTGAACCCACACCTAGGCACATCAGGAAGGGAGTACTTGACATGAAGGACATCATCCAGCAATATGTGCAACAACCGCTGGACAGGACGGCTAATCCTGCGGGTTAGGGGTTCAAGAACTTACCCGCGGTAAGGCATGCCTGCCGTAAGGGGAGACTAAAATCCAGTAGTTCTCGCGACAGTCGGGTCTTTATACCGGAATGAACCGGATTATTATGCGGCCAAGGGCTGTTATTACCGCAACATTCCCCACAAAGTACTTTGGGGAATATTTATGCGGTTACAACAACAACAACAAGAACAGCGGCGTACGCCATTCGCCAGGAGTCAGTCAACACCTTCTCACTACTCACTTTCCGTGAATGGCGTGTTCGTAGAAAGAACACCATTCATTTCAGACAACGAGCTCGAGCTGTTTCGAGAGACCCGCCTGACCTTGGCCCAACTTCGGTTTGGATACTGTAGGAGGTTAAACTCCTACTGGACCCCTGCATACCCAGCGTATGTAGTGCATGTGGAGAGTCTCCGCACGAAACTAACAACCTCTTCATATGTCCAATCCCGTCGAAACAGCATGTTTCCTGGACCTCCCACTAGATGACCTCGGCGACTTAGGTTGATTAAACCACTTAGGGGGGCCTGTGAACCACTACAACAACAACAATACAATGAAGGAGAAGAAGAAATCTACCGAAAAAATGTTATTCCAGGAACCAAATCTAATCACCTAAAGAATTTCATGATGTTATCAAGCTCGGCGGTAGAGCTATTTCGTGCTAATATTGTTCGGAAAACTTGATGACTCTAAAGTGGGAACCCTATGCTGTTTCCAAGCTCCAGAGATTTGAAAGGAAAATAGTTTAATAGCGTTCTTTGTTTAACAATTTCCGCAAAAACCGCCCACTGTGCGTTGCTAAAGCAACTAATAAAGTTCTGGGATTTACTAAGAGTTCATTGTTTGGCTGTAAACAAAAACCCGTTGAAGGTTATATGTAAAAACAACATAAAAATTGCATGCTACAACAAGTAGCAGCTTTTCAAGGACTCGTAACCAAATCGTAAGCTGCAACAGAGTCGTAATTATATATTTTTTCTAAGTAACAATCGATTTAAAAAAAATATGTTTTAAGAACTCAAAATTAAAAGTTTGTCAGTTAATTTTATACCACACATGCGGGATATAACGGATATGGAGATATCGATAACGGTCGGAGCTTATGACATATCATTTCACCTGCCGGCTGATAATCCATATCCGCCCATTTTAAACTTACCACTCGTGGTCGTTGGTTTGGCCGTCGTTGAAGATGTCGATGACTTTTTGCCTCTAACCACTCCATTCGCTGCACTCAAATCTTTTCTCGACTTCTTCAACTCGCGCCGACTACTTGCGCCACCGACTTGCGCAGACGTTGACGGTGACTGTGGTTCAACTTTGTTGCGTTTGTTGCTTCCATTACGCGCCGGTGGCTGAATCGCTACATTCACAGCGTTCCGACTAACTGCGGCCTTACGTGCACTTTGCGCTTGGGAATCAAAAGAACTGGAACGTTGACCTGCTGCTGTTGCAACCGATTTACCATCGCGTGAGTTTGTTCGTGAACTGCTCTTACCTGCAAGTTGCTCTGGCTTAGCTGATGCTGCTGTGGGAACAACCACCGCAGTCGCAGTGTTATTAGTGCGCCGATTTTTCTTTACCACCGACACGTCAAATTGGCCAACTTGTTGCATAGCTGACGCTGTGGACGCATCATAGCGGCGTGCGACCCTTGATGCAGCTACATTTCTCACACCATCGCTGGACGATGTGACCGTATTGTCTGGAGGTTTCTGCTTGGTAGTACTGCTACCAGCGCTGCTACCAACCAATTTGGCAACAGGATAATCAACAATTTTTGTGCCAAATCTTAACGAATCGCTGGCCGTACGATTTGTACGATTTACTTCCGCATCTTGAAGTTGTTTTTGGGGCGATCTTGTTGGCTGATCTTGCTCTCGCTGTCGCTGTCGCTGTCGTGGTGCCTGCGCCTGCGCCTGTGATTGTGCTTGCTGCTGCTGTTGTTGCTGCTCCAGCGCACTTGCATAATCGCCAACAACGGTAACAACAATGGCTATGGCGCAGACGTATGTAAGCCAGTGTGTTGGCTGTAATATATGTAGTACTTTCATTTTTCCATTCGACACTTTGATAGCTGAGTACGGTGTTGATCTGTAGCTGTTATTGTTGTAGTTGTTGTAGTTTATTTTATGTTAATAACGCTCAAAGCATAAAGCACAATGTATGTTTTTGTATATTAAAATTTTTTACCAATCTATTTTTTTTTCATTGTTTTGGTTTTGATTTTCTGAAACGAACGTATCTGGCCTAAAGGCCCAACTAAGGTCACACTGACCTCAACTACAATTAGCGCGTCATTTCAAATCGAATTACTAAATTGGTAAAAATTAGATTGAATAGACCTAATTTAAGGCAAATTCAAACACGTTAAACGACACTTTATGGTCTCCGAGTATACCGCTTTACCGCACTCAATGAGAAAAATTATTTCGTATATTTAATATAAATTTATTTGTGCGCAAGTATGCCTTTTAACACCTATCACAGGCAAAGTATTTTGTAATGCAGTTACTTTGTATTTTTATATTATCGTTTCGCTTTTGGCAGTTTACATTTAAATATTTATCGCCGCGCATGCGCAGAAATCGTTGAATCGTTGACGCGGTTCGTTTACGACTGAAACTATAAACTAAACTTGACTTAACTTCAAACATTTTGGCCATACCGATTGTCCATAATTTATTTATATATTTATGTGCATGTGTACATACATACTATATACCTACACTTGCGGCAATATTCATTTGGCCAGCCAAAAAAGCCGCAAACTTTGTATACAATTCAGCCGGAAAACGTTGGTGCGGAAGGAAGGTGTTTGGAAACAACAACAACAAAACAAAATCAAAAATAAAAATACAAAAGCTTGAAAACATGTTTATAAACAAAATAAATGACAAACTTAAACTTGTCTAAAATTTCCTTTCATAGTCTTTCTTTGGGTAAACATACTTAAAATGTATAAAATGATGCTGAGGATACACACGTATGCACACCATCCTTAAAATTGGCAAAACTCAAGAACTTAAAATTACAATAACAAAAAATTCTTATGTTTTTTAGTTCCTAGTTTATTCAGTTTTGTTGCAATCAAATAGCTGAACTTTTTATTTTGCTGCAGCCCCTCAGAGTGTCCGCTGAGCACAAGAAAACTTTAAATGCATTTTTCTCAAAATCACATTTTTCAAACTAGGAGGATAGTTTATTCGTAGCCTGTTGCATTGATTTAACTGAAATTTTGATGATAGCTTCACAAATACATTTTTTGGAAGGACCTAGCCATTTTTCGATTAAATGTAAACTTTTTTTTAATAATTTTGAGCGTATTTTTTAGTCAATACGTGCGTACTGCCAAAGACCATTGTTTGTTGTTGTTGTTGTTGTTGTTGTAACCGAAAAAGGATACCTCAAAGTACTTTTTAGGGAATGTTGCGGATAAAAATCCGGCTCGTTCCAGTCGACCCGACTGTCGAGGGAACTATTGGATTTTAGTCGCTTCTTGCGACAGGCAGGCCTTCCCGCCCCTAACCCGTAGGGGGGGGGGCCATAGTTTGTAAATCATAAAGCTTTTTGCTTTTTTGTTCTAGATCTCATCCTTTAAAAACATCGGTCCTCCCGTAGAAGCATTTCAAGAAAAACATGGATTAAATAATGGACTTTAGCATCGCCATTTTGTAACAAAATAATATTTAAAGAATATTTTTTCAATCTTCAATATATGTTCAATTAAATCTTTAAATAGAAACTCTGTTCCTTTATCCATATTCCTAGAATATTTTTTTTTAAATGAGTCTATTTTTCAAGCTCTAGAGTGCCTTTACCCTTTAAATGAATGAGAGGCCCATCAAAAGTAAAATCCCTAATACAAACAAAAAATACTTTTAAAAATCCCCCAAATTCGATTTGTAAACTGTAATTGCTGGAGACACCTCGAGTTTATGCTAACCCACTTCCGAACAGCTGATAGGTTTTTATATTGGATATCTTATTTCATTAGAAAAATTTATTTAATTTTTTATTTTCCCACTTCCGGCTTAGCAGCGCACACTGCTAGCTTTGATTATGAGACCGTCTTTTGCCCATTTCGACCTGGCGCTTTGCCTACAATACACCTCGCCTCTTCGCATTAGAATGCTGCAGTAGAAAAAAGAATCTTCAAAATATGCAAATTTCAATAAGATTCCTTAATCGTACTTCACAATCCACATCCTCGCCACTCGACAAAACTCAAAAACAAATGAAAAATCAAATTTAAATCTTGTTATGTTTTATTCATCGGAAAGCTCAAATAAGTGATTTCACTTTAGTAAGTCACGATCTAGTTATTTGGTTATTTGTACTCGCACTCATTTCCTTGAAAAACATTTTGTTTTGTCAATTCCATTGCCTCTTATTAAAACTTTCAGATGATGTTGTTGTTGCTGCTGTTGCTGTTGTTGCCCACATATTAATTCACGTAGTTTGCCTTATTTGTATCACCAAACTGCTTGCATTAATATGTGTAAATTTTGATGACACATCCCAAACAATGGGGATATCTGTCATCGGATGAGAATTAACTCAAATTAATCGAGCTGAAATTTTTTAAATATTTGTTTTAATACAATCGTAAATTGAAAGGAAATTCATTATACACTTTTACCTTCTTGAAGCCAATATCATTGGCGTACTCTCTGAAGCACTGACGGCAGATGTTCAGACCATATTTGCGGATCAAACCGTGGCGGTTAGAGCATGACCGGCTATAAAGATATGAAAGTCATTAATTAAAACTAATTTTCAATTAAACACACAAAGATTACAAAATATACACGTTTTATTTGCACAAGTGTCTATTGTAGATTACTGTACCAATTCTACTTTTGCATAAAAGCATATACAAAGTAGAAAGATCGTTTAGTAAACAAGTTTATTTAGCCACCCTCAATTAAGGAAATCTCAAATGATTAGTTTTACGAGATTTCCGTACTCAACCGGGGGCACAGAAACTTGATCTTGCATAAATTCCAGCAAATTCAATAGCACACACACTCAAAACTAATTTTACAGCACATTTAGCCCTGGACATAACCTCAAATATATTTACAATGCAAATTTTTAGCAATTGACAAAAATTTGTATTTCAAGCTGCAATTTTTTGGAATGTAAAATCTAGACATCAATATTTACCAGCATCTTGAGCCTTGTCCGTATTTACGTGGATGAGAATACCAAAGATTTGCGAAACCCATCTTGGCTATTTCACTTCAAGAATCCAAAAGAAAGGAAATATGGCTGTCGTCCCTCGAAGTGTTGGAAAAGGCGTGGTGAAATCACAATCACATGTTGAATATGGCAGCACTTAGCGCTGCCATTTTCCAAATTTGACATTGGTGACAACTGTGATGCAACGCTTAAAATCGCATACAATTTTTCTTTACTCACCCATAATACATTGAATACATTCTTGGGCCCAACTTCTATTCAAACTCTACAGATTGCATACTAATCTAATATATACTTTATTTTCCTCTAGAAATTAATAGCCATATGTAGTTTTTTGGTCAACAAAGCATTTGGTAGCTTAAACCAAAGAACGTTTATTAATCAATTAATTAATTTACGTTCTTTGCTATTACAGGAAAACGCACAAAACAATTTTGTAGAAAGACCGCAATGTTTATATAACACATGCAACTCTGTGTTTTGGGAACTTGACAGCTAACGGCTTTTAAAAAGTAACGCTTTGATAAAACTGTATGTAAAAAAAAATATTCAGCGGGCATTGAAAATTTTGTTCAAGTAATCACTGGAAAAATATATGAAAAATAAATAAATTTATCGGATCGGTTTATGTGAACTTTGAATTTACGCAACTAAAAGCATTTAGTGAAGATATTATTGAATAAATAAATCAAAATGGATGCATCGAAGCAAACTTTCAGTGAAGCAAATAATACCGGGGCCTCGATGTATTTATCCTTTGATTCTACTATTTCTAGCTTAGCATATAAAACATTAGAAGCTACCATAGATGACCTATCAATGTTGTCTAATATGGACAACGAGGAAGAAACTGTAGAAAATTCCCTGGACACTCATCAAAATAGTACTTTGGAAGCAATAGATTCACACTTAAACTATCTAGATTCGGTAAAGGGTAAGGACACTCAATTGCAACAGTCTTCAATGCCGAAAAGAATATTGAAGGAATTCAATGTTGTCAGCTCAACACCGAGTAAGGAACAGATATTACGTAGTGTTGAGGTTGCTCGTGGATCAAGCGCTGAAAGATGTATTGCTTTTATGGAGTTCAATGAGGAAAAAGAGACCGATGGGACTACTAAAAACAAAGAAAATGCAGTACCTGCTAAAGAGGTAGTTGGGAATTCTCAAGCAAATATTGAAAATGTACCGATGACTACAACAGATAAATCTAAATCTACTGCTAATGAAGAAGTAGATATTAATAAAACAGAGGATGTTAATAAAACAACTAAGGCCAACACCGAAAAAACATTAAATAGTCAGAGTGGACAAAATGAAGAAAATACTTTAGAAAACAAGGGTAAATTATTGAAATTTTTTACTATAAGTTATTTTCATAATATGTCAGTTAAATTTGTCAATTACTTTAATAGCTATAAATAAACGATCTTCAATTCTCAAGAAACCTATTTGTGAACCTGATCTTCTAACTAATCGACCGTCAAGAATTGCAGTAAATTCAAATAAACGATTTTCTGTTAACAACTTTAATGTCAAAACTGATATAGATAAACAGATTACAGAAATCCCAAAATTGATGACGAAGGTACTGAAAATCGCTGAAGCTTCCACTGCAAATAAAGATAAAACTACAACTTCATCAACTTTGGACAAACGTAAGTCTATTATGTATAATATGAAAGGGCGTTCCTCAATGCTACCATCAAATACAGCAATACAAGCAGAGAAACGTCCTTTTGCATACACACAACGTATGTCGGTTTTAGTCAAGACTACATTAAATAGTCCTGCCCGTAAAATAGCTCGACGATCTGTATTTCCCGCCTCGCAGCTAACGCACAACTTACCGTTGAAGCCTAGTCGCATAAGCATGTTGCCAACTAGTAGAGGAGCACCAACGACAATTGCCACTAAATACACAAATGGTGCTATAAAATCAATAACCGAGTCCACAAAACAGACCTTGACAAATAGAAAATCAATTTATCCTGTTGAGAAATTACCTAAAACTACTACTACCACCACAGTAGTAAAAGCACAGAATATTTTTAAACCCAGACAAAGTACAACTGCAAAACCGGAATCTTCTTTTACTTGTAACACTTGTGGCTGTAAGTTCAGCATTAAATCCCTTTTGGATGCTCACAAACGTTCTCATGAAGGTGATGGTTTGCCTGCTTTTGTTAAGAAACCCACGATAAATGCTTTGAGTACAGCACCACCTGTAACCCAGTCAAATGTCGCAAATAAATGTAAATATTGCGACAAGAAATTTGCGCTTGTTCGTGCATTACACATTCATCTTTTGCAAAATTGTCCAAAAATACCACCCATTGAGAAACGAAAATTGAAATTCGACGAAATGGATCATGTTGAGAAAGCACAGTTGCCTGGATTTTTCCATGCAAGTACTTCTAATAATAATAAAGTAAATAATAAAACTGAAACGCTAGTTCAAACAAAGTCAGTTACAAAAGCACAACGTTCTCGATCAGATCTGAGCAGTATTTCGTTGAGCTCTACAGATTCGGCAAACGACAAAAAAGGTAAATTTTAGCACTCAAAAATTGTGAAATAAATTTTTATTTTATTTTAATTTTTTTCCCTTTATAGCACTTGCTGAAATTACCATGATAGCGAAAAATGCGGCTGCTGTAGCAGATGGCATATTGCCAGACATGGCACCACCTTCAGGTAGAGCAATTAAGAAGACAGCAGCACACGCTGGAATACATCGTACACCGAATAAATCCATTACGTGCCATACATGCAAGATTTCCTTCAAATGCATAATGGATCATATTCATCATAATATGGTGGTGCATTTCAAGAACTTGGAAGTGCAAAACACTAACGATAACGCACAAAAGACTACAAAGTAAACGCAATAATGCGTTAATTTATTTTATCAGACGTAAATAAACATACAGTATATGCCTCGTGCAAACTTATATTCTTACGTATTCATTATTTGATATTAGTTAATTTCCGTTCCTTTATGTTCGACGTCTCAGAGTTGTCCAAACAATAGGTTACACCATTTCTTTGAGTATTTCTATAGGCATAAAAACAAGGCTTAAATTTTAGTATTTAATTTCATTGTGAAATTATATTTTTGATTTGTATTTCAGAAAGAAATTAGTGTTAATTCAAATGCCTAAGTATTTTGGTGCTCCAATATTTTGGTTCCACGAGGGAAAAAGAAATTTTACTTTTATTTAAGATTTTTCGTTGATTTTTTTTTTTCCTGCTCTATTTGAATTTGTTTGGTTTCAGTTAGAATATATTTTAATTTTTTATGTTAGTAACAAAACAGGGCTCCCTTGGTACCTAGAAATGATGTCCAATTGGTTTTAAGGCAAAAAAAAATAATATTTCAAATAGCGGAACTTACATTTTTACGGAAGAACCTAGCCGTTTTTCGATTAAATGTAAACTTTTTTTATCAAAAAAAGAACATGGATCGAATAATGGACTTTATCACCGCCATTTTGTGACAAAATAATAATTAAAGAATATTTTTTCAATATATGTTCAATGAAATGTTTAAATATAAATTATATTGCTTTTCCCATATTCCTACAATAAATTTAAAAAATAAGTATCTTTCAACCTCTAGATTGGCTTTACACCTTAACAACAAAAAAAGAGAATCTTTTACCGTTATATTCATATGGTTGATGCTGTGTGCTTTTAGATTCCATTCTTCATTTGTTACATATTTTATTAAAAGCTAATTTTAATTCGTACGGTAAGATTTACATTTGTTTTTATTAAGTATTTCAGCCTCTAAAGCAAGTCAAGGGCTATCATCACATACGTGTATGTTTGTATAAAATATAAGTGCCACAAACGTGAAATTATAAATGCGGAAAAATTTTCGATAATTTCCCTTCCGGTGGCAAATTTGTGAACATTGCCAAAAAATGCGGACGCGCATACGTACATCAGACACACTTATTTTAATGATTAATTGTTGTAAAAACACACATAGCATAGATCTCTAAGCTAAGTGTGGTATGCCACAAATCATGTCAGATAAATATATGTACGCAATTGCATTTTTAATATGTATATTATATATTATGTATATATTTACATATATATAAACTCACTAACATAACATGTGTATAGCCCCCCTTTAGGAACACAGGCTAACTCAAAATTTACACACGATACATTTCACACCCAGATTTTTTTTTATAAATTTAATTACTTATTTGTTTCGCCAGATTGTTGCAGCAACAGGCAGACGAGAATGAAAATAACCAGACACAAACAATACATCAATGTCGAAATTTCTAATCTGAATCGTTGATTTCCTCTTATTTGACCACCGTCTGCTACACCAAATCTAAACAAATGTTTTCTTTTTTTCTGTTTTTGTCGCATGCTTTGTGGCAACGTATCCACTACAGCAAGGCATAAACATTTGAACATCTCATAGGCATATATTATACATTTACATATATGTATGCAGGTTCGCATGTGCATGCGGTTGTCTGAAAGTTTGTGTCGCCACGAACTTGAACTTGATAAATGAAATTATGTAGGTATTTTAAGATCTTCTTGCCTCTATTTATAAAAAAAAGAAAATGTATTTGGTTGCATTAATATGTCTTGCGCCTGTAGTGCACTGCTAGTTTCATGATGTAAACTGTGCTGCTGGTGACCCAGATTTTTTTCTAATACATACATAAAACTATGAAATATTTTTTTAATCACTTTTGTGTATTGTTTTTCCTTTTTTAGTTTTTTTATATTCTTATATTGATTGCTATCAACACTGTCCGCCTTCAAATTGCTTCAAAAATAGATTTTAGTTCGTGTTTTTTACATTTTAATATTTATTGTATTTAATTACTAATATTAAAAGTTTTATAAACTCATTGTGTTTTCTTTTTCTGGCATGCAGTATATATGTGTGTGTGTGTGTGGGTGTGTCGTTTTTTATTTTAAAAATACGTTTTACTAAAACTAGAAAGCGTATCAACAATTACATTCTTAAACAATACTTACATGAGAATGTAATTTACTAATCAACTACAAGCATACTTTTATGTTTCAGTATTGTTTGGAAGATTTTAACGTGTGATATTATTGATTGATTCACTCTAATTATAAGTAATTTATGCTTAATCTTATTTATTTAAAACACAGCTGAGCTTAGTTTAAAATGAAATTACCCTGTGATTTTTTTCTTTTTTTTTTGCAAACAAATTAAGATAATTTTAAGAAGACAATAAAAATGATATTAAATATTTTAATTAAATCAACAATTTTAACACATAAAGAATAAGTGCATAAAATAGAATTTAAAAATAGTTAAAATTAGTGCCAAAAGTTGAATACTAATACAGGCTAGCTATGCTGTAGCTCTTATTAGTATTTAAAAATATGAACTTAAAATTCATATGAAAGCAAAGAAATACAATCAAAAAGTAGTATAAAGAAATCAATAGCAGTATAAGTAGATGTATATAAGATTAATGGAATTATTTGTAGTACATTTAAACGTGTATAAAACTGCCTTGATTGAGCAAATTAATCGAAGAGTTAACTGATAATTCACCGCAGCAACTTGTACTCAATTCAATATCATTTATACTTTTCGTCATCAGCATCATCATATGACCACATTTTTGCGTTTACTTACAGTCCGTTGTTCGTTTCTTGCAATCTTAACAAATTTAATTTGTTAACATCGACAAAGGCTTATGCGTTTCTTCGATATATCTATTTAGTAATGCGTTGTCATTTCTTAATATGTATTTGATTCTTTTTTTTCTTTTTCTACAAGCTATAAAGCGTGTAAACTTTGCCACCTCTTGAAGTTATCTCCATTCTCTTCGTAATTTCACCAATATCCCAATCAGCGAGTTTCACTTTTCCTTTTGTTTCTCTTAAAAATACTGGCATTGATATCTATAAGACTTTCTTCATGTATTTCTTTTTGGCATTCTCCAAACTGGGCAGCTCACAGCGACGTGGTCCATACATTGAAATCGGCGTACAAAACTCATAACCAAGTCGCTCATAGAAACCATCTTGATCGATGGTAGATAAGTAAATGGCTTTCAAGTCTAATACGATACGACAATAATCTTCAGCGAATTTCATAATTAATTTACCGAAACCTTGTCCGCGAAAACTTTTATCCACCACTACCGACTCGATAAAACAGGCCATCTTTTTGGACGGTATCTGACTTAACTTACAATGTGCTATAACACGATTCATCCCGTCCGTAGTTAAAACTAAGCTGCAGGGAAGTGTATCACAGGAAGCTTCGAGTGAACGCATGCGAGCCGTCTCACTACGCGGCCATTCGGAGTTAATCAGCTCGCATGTCTTTTTCATTAGCTCGGGATGATGGTGTATGGGTACAACACTGAAGGGACTACCCGACACATTAAACGGTGGAAGACCCTGTAATTAAATACGAATTTACGTAGAGCTGCATCAGTTTATAATTGTAATATTTTTATGTATGTATGTACCAAATAATATATGCATACGAAAAAACTAATGGTAACTATTCTATTAGGCAAATAAAATTATTAAAGGATACCTCATAATACGGTTCCGGTTTTATGAAGCGCATAATCTGTAAGTGGTGTACAGAGAGAGAGGCTACTAAATAAAATTATATCTTCCACCACTGTAGAGCCCAGTAAAGCGTTGCTAAAAATCTAAGCATAAAATTAGTTTTGAAATTTCCCATTCAATCAGCGAGAAATGCAAATAATCAAACATAATTATAATATGTATGTAACACAAATATTTTTCGAAATAACAACTATAATTTGTATACAATACAATTGTTTGAAACGAATTCACACTACAGTGTGTCCACATGAATATCACAATTTTTAGAAAATGTGAGGCCATACATCGATTAGTTTACTTAACCAAAAACAAATGATTTAAACAAAAACAATGTACACTTAAATAAATATTAGTATATTCAAAATTCCAAAAATAAAATCATTTCGTTTATGACATATGTTCGTAAATGTGTGTTGGAATCTAATGAATGTGTATAAACTCGGTTGGAACACAAGGCTATTGTCGGTGAATTTCAAGGTTCATGTCCGTTCGCCTTGAATACCGTTCAAGTAAATATATAAAAGAATCTTGGCTGCGAAATACTTTTATAAAATTGCATAATAAGTTGGTACATGAAAAACATGGAACATGAATTTATGATTTTCGAATATGTTATTTATATACATATAAATAAATATGTTATTTATATACATATAAATGCTTACAATATAAACATATTCTTTATATTGTATAATGTGAAGACACTATATCGAATCCGCTACAACAACAACACTATATCGAAGTTCCACTTGCAAAAAGTATGTATGTATGTATGTATGTATGTACGAGATATAAAATTCTGAATCTGTAATGAGTCAACCGGTGTTAGATTATGTTCTTTTGTAAAAACTTCATAACACTATAAACTTTTCACTAGTTTAAAAATAAAAGAGAAGCATATTTTTAATTAAGTGCACAAATACTGTTTCCACAAATTGATTTTTACCATAATGTAATTTCTTCGTTGTTGCTCTTCTTTAGAAATGCCACGACGGACTGCAAAGAACGAACTGATTGAACTGCCCAAATCTGTTCCGCCTCTAGGCTTATTTTAATTGTTTTAGCTTATTACACACTATTTCCTTGTATTATTAAATGTTGCTGCAATGATTCTCTTACAAGTGGTTTAATATATTTATTTATTTACAGTTTCCCACATACAAATGTAACTACATTCATGTAACAAATGTATGCTGGGCTTATTGTACGTTTAGAAGCTGATATGTTAATTGCTGTGCTTTCAGAGATTATTTATAAATTTTATGCTTCAATGAACCAGCGGTATTTCAATTTTGTTAAAATTCACTTCTGGCGCCAAATAACAAAATGAATAAGAAACAAAATTTTTATAAATAGATTTTTGCAAAATGAAGATAAAGTAAATTGAGCTAGAACGGCAGTCAAGTGTCAAAAATGTTTTCCTATTTGGTTATCCTTTGCTTTTTCGTCAAACACGCCAAATTAAATGCGAATTTGGAGAGTAAAACAAAGGACGGTCAAGAAGTGTTGTAAAGTCGAACATACCCTAATCAGGTTAGCGCTACTGTAAAAGAGACATAACTCAAAAGCTCTAAATATTGAGATAAACGGATATTACTGAAGAAATCATAACTAAAAAATTAGACATTCAATTTTCAATTAAATCACTTTAATAGTATATATTATAAGTTGTATATATGCAAATGGCTGATAAATTTGACACAATTATCGCTTGATAAATCAATTTAATTTCTTGTATGAAAATGTTTGTATCGGATAAATCTATAATATCAATTTTGTCCCATGCGGGATAAAACGCGGTTTTGTATCACAATACTCTTAATTTTCTACAACTTAATTTCTATATATGTATTAAATTTTATTGATTAAATGGATTATAGTACACATATTTGTTAATAATATTATATAAGCGTTACATTTGAGAAATTAACATAGCAAAATTTTACATGAAAAACTAAAAAGCTTTAATCTCCCCGCCCCTCCTCTCCTAACACAATTATATACTTAAGGCCGTTTTCACCATCTCCAGTTAAGCACTTAATCTTAATTTAGTCGAATCGGAAGGTGGCTTAAAATTCGTTTTCACAATGTTTGGTTAAGGCGTATCTATCAATTAAAATACGGTTAACTTAACGCCAACATTGAGTGGCGATTAGCTCTTAACCAGAAGATAATTTGACAGCTGCAAATAGTAAAATAATAAATACAATTGCATTCCGGTTAACTTTGGAATAAAATTAATCAAGAAAAATTTGAAACGCACTACACTGGCTACGTTGATTCAGAAGCGTATTTATAGGGAACGAACACTAATATTTTTTTAGAGAAATATAACGAATTAGTTTTTATTTGTAGATTTCGTCTTTCTAAAATTAGTGCAAAATACATTTTGTAAAAAATAGGAAGTAAAGTTAGAAGCCGCACTGAAAGGCTTTTGAAAATAATGTTGATAATTTTTTTATTTTGCAGGAATAATAATATTAATTTTGATTTGAACATTGCATTTACGGGAAGTATTTTCATTTGTGTACCGGCGACTGGCAGTAAGGTGGTAAATAGGATCCAATGCTACCGCGGCACTTGTCCAATCATTCCTCAGAATATCGAAAAAAGCAGGGAAATTGAGAGCACAATGCGCACATATCACCGAATAGCGAAGTTTCCAAAGGTGTGGGGTTGTTTAGATTGCACTTATGTTAGCATCCAATCATCTGGAGAAGAAAATGCCGAAAAATATCGAAGCAGAAAAGGGTACTTGAAAAATTGAATTAATGGACTTTGTATGCAGATGACCCGAAGCTAAGGTGCAAGAAAATCATATACTTATATTGCAGATATTTTTACATGTAATTTAAAACAATCAAAGTCTTTTTTGCTAATAAAAAAAAAAACATAAGAAATAAATTTCATTAAATTACAATTTTTTTCCATAACCACAAAATCAAATTTAATTATTATAAGAGGAAACGGAAGATCTTCAGAATTACTGAACCATATCGTGTGGAAAAATGCAGTCAAATACAAACTGTCATGTACATATTTTCACAAGAATCAAACCAACTAGAAGTTAAGTAACCAGAACCTGGTGAAAACGAAATTGTCACATCAGCCTATCTGATGGTTAGCTATCCTCCAGTTAAATATTAATCTAATCCGACATTGTGAAATCGGGCCTTAGTATATAATTGACACAAACCCCAACCCTTTTCTTTAAATTCATTTTGAACTTCTAAATTTTTTTACTGCTGGCAACACTTTATGATTCGTTTGTTTACATTTTCAGTTTTACCACACTATCTTTCTTTCTTTTGCGAATTGCAACCCAGCAACAGATGTTTTCAAGTGCATTTGTTCATTGGCGATTTTCTGATTTGTTAAAATTTTTCTTGGCGTTTTGTGTACAAATATAAAACTTATAACGGAACGGTTATCACAATAAAGAACTTGAAAAACAATGCCAAAAGCGAAAGTATATCACTGTGACTCACCGAAATTTGTGTCGCGTGCTTGTTGATAAAATTATTTGCGATTGTGCCCTCACGTTTTCTGCCAGCGATCACTGACCGACTGCGATAGATTTATTACACAACAAACAATAAATAAAACTACATTATAAATAAGTTAGCATATACTAAAAATAAACCATAAACAATTTGTATCTGTGCAAAGAGAAAGAACAGAAAACTACATTTGCGATTCAAGTTCACCACATTGACGCTGACGTAGCGTTGTTGTTTCAGGAAGCAAATATATGTATATATAAAAAAGAAAACAACCGGCAAAAACAGATTTTAGTGTATAAATTGCTACTTTATATTTAAATATGCTACCAGGACGACAGATGCCCCAGCCTCTGGCGCAGGAGAATCCATTATGGGTGTCTTGGCACGACACACAAATGATGGCGTCACTTAGTCCAGCCACAGTCATGGATTATTTTTGCCGCAAATCTAATCCTTTCTATGATCGAGTTTGTAATAACGAAACTATTCGTATGCAACGCTTAAGTCTGGAACATTTAAAGTAAATTTATTGGACTAGTACACATTGTAAAAGCTTATTGACTTTATTTTTTTCTCTTCTGCAGCAATATGATTGGCGTTGAATACATTCTGCTACATGTGGCCGAACCCATTTTATATGTAATTAGAAAACAGCATCGTCATAGTCCAACAGAGGCAACACCGATGGCTGATTATTATATTATTGGGGGTATGGTATATAAAGCACCTGATTTGGCAAGCGTAATTAATTCGAGAATTGTATGTATTAGTCCTTTAAAATTGTACAAATCTGTAATTTAAAAATTTATAGCTAGCTACGGTGTCAAATCTACAATCAGCTTTCGAAGAAGCTAGCAGCTATTCCCGATACCATCCAAACAAGGGTTATACGTGGGATTTTGTTTCAAATAAAGCACGTTAGTAACGATTGTCTACTTCCTACTTTGGCAAAACTATTATTTACTTACATTTTATCGTTTTGTAGTGGCAGACAAATCTAAAGGAAATAAAAAAGACTCGTCATCTAACAAAGACGATGGCGGTACGATATTTCAAAAACAGCGAGTTGATATGCTATTAGCAGAGTTATTGCGTAAATTTCCACCCCCGATACCGCCAATAATACATCAGCAACAAATGCAAAACCAACAACAATTGCAACAGGCACAACTTCAAAATGCGGTTCACGAAGCAAGTGCGAGTGATCCAAGTACTTCCAATAATGGTGTTGTACCTTCAGAGACGAGTCCTTCACCTAATACTGCGCAAAGTCTAGTTGAACCGAAAACCGAGGGTGTCGATATGAAGCCTCCTCCGGAGAAAAAAATTAAAATGTAGAAGGAACCAATCACTATTTTAATTTAATAAACAGAATAACTTACTCATAATTTAAACAATAAATGCTATTATAGAAAAAATATTTTTATTATTACATATGTATGTATGTGGTGGTGTGCCATCCCGAACGCTTTTAAAGCATACCATTTTTGCCTCACGTAAAATGTGCAATTAATAAGCCATATTCAGTAGGTTATTCAAATATTTGCAAAAATTTATTCAATAGCTGCGTTTTAGGCATACTGATTTTGTAATTAGCATTTTCACTCAGTGTTAAATAACTTCCAGATAAATATTCTTAATTACATAAATATAACAAAGAATGTGTTAATTGTTTTTGAGTATACACAAAAATAGTTATATGTTTCCTCTAATAAAATACAGATGCAATTAGACAAGTTCTATTGGGCCACTTTCTTTGCCACCCCACATACTTTACCAATGTGTTCGTTTTGTTCTAATGAGTCTACTACAAATTTTGCCAAATCATATTTGGAAATAGCTCGACCAGGTGCATCGTCATGTTGCACAGAATAATCGGTTGATGGCTCATCGGAAATGTGCGGTGGTAGTATGGCCACATACTCTAAGCCGGACGCCTTTGTCAAATCCAACATACGTTTATGTTCTTCATTCAATTTATGAAAAACCCCTGGAACTTCATTAAGCGGACGGAATAAAAATGATGACATAACAATTGAGAAACGACGTATGCTCTTTTCCTTCATCGCCGTAATCAGGTTTTGAGTACCCGTTGATAATTCTGTAGTGGCCTCCAATTTATTACGCGTACCCAAAATAATGCACACCCCGTCTACGCCATCTATTACATTTTTGCAATCATCTAAATTCAAAACGTTTCCTTTGACTAAATCAACTTTATCCTTAAAGCGTTCAGGTAATGTCGTTTCACTACGATACAAAAGGCGAACCTTCAAACCTTTAAATGAAAGAACTCGATAAGTATATAATAAAAAACAAAAATGAGCTCTAATTTACCTTTTTTTAAAGCATAATCGACAACACATTCGCCGGTCATGCCGGTGCCACCAATAACAGCAATCCGTTGCATAATGCAAGTGTTCTTTCACAGAATATTCTCCAAGTAAGTTGAAGCAAAAATAGAATGCAGTCTTGTTGCGGATTTCCGATAACAAATAGTGTACTTTCAGATAAGATTACTAAATAAGCTTTATTTATTTATGCGTAAAACAGAAACGATTGTGTGCGATTCGTTCAGTCAAATGTGATATTCACAACTATTGAGCAGAGAATTCCATTAATGTACATATGTATTTTGATTGCTGCAACAAAAAATATTAAAATGGTTTAGCAAGGTTAATTAAGTGTAAATGACAGATTTTTTTTACATACACCACCTTCGCCCTGTAGCTAGTTGCGAGTTTACTTCAGTTTCTATCTAATTCGTTTGAATCCATATGGCAGAATTACAGTGTAATGAATGCTCTCTTACTTTTTTAGGCTTAAAAAACACATTAAAGATCAATTAATTTTAAGGAATAAGCAAATAAAATTACTCCGGCGTTCAGATATTGGAAATATAGAATAATGTAACATTTAAAATAAGGCCTAATATTTATCAATTATCAAGACATATGTATATACATGATTCATACAAAAGGTATTCATTTTTAATAATGCAGGGAAAAACTACAGCTAAACAACAACGTAATCAATTCCTACTTGGTATTTCTTCGTTTCCCTTTAACATTTTTTCATAACAGTAGGTTTTCAATATTTTAGATGTAAATGAAAAATGTACGGTTTCCGTGGCAAGCTTAACTTGCCATTCTTCTGAACAATTTAATCTAATAATTTTTCATTATCTAAGGCGTCAATTTAAATGGCAAAGTATTAATATTCTTGATGATTGCCTAAATTTTAGAAATAAACACTGAATGCTATTAACTAAGGAAGTTGAGGTAAAAGTTTTGTTTAAATTCCACATATGTTGGAATATCGTCATCAAAAATAAATGTGTCCTGTAATTAATATGTTTATCGTTTAGTTTTAAAATTAAAATTAATTTAAGTTAACTGTAATGGGTGTACTCAATTGTTGGATTAGAAATTGAAAGCGGAGGCAAATATAATTTTTCGGTGTTGGGTAAGTGTTACAATTCGAACAGTTTTAAATTAGAACTAATTAAATATATGAAAATGCATTAAAATCAAAAATATCCATGATTAAATCATATTTAAAATGTAGAAATTAATAACACTAAAATATTTTGGTAAATTAAGACACTATCAAAAAACTCGAAAAAAGTAGGCTAGCTTTCTATGTCAAGGCGCCATTTTTTAAAGAACAATAGATCTAGAAATACTGCAGAGTCCGCAAAATTTTGAATTTATTTTTATAAATATAAACTAAATTAAATCCACTATGATGAATACAAGTGAAGAAGAATTTTCGAATTCCGATGCGTGGCTATCCGAGCAACTGTTTGCTCAATTAAAAGAATTTAATTCAGATTATAGAGAAAAGTCGGTTGTTGATGCATCGACAACATTTGTATTTCCTTCCGGTAGTCTCAGCTGTTTGCCTGAAGGAGAACCTCACGACTTAACAAAATCACGACTTGAAAACTACGAGCCTGTTTTCAAATTATCTACACCAACTAATATATCTTCTTTCGATCTGAACGATGTGTTGGATTTAACTAATATTACTGGCAGATGTAACGATTCAGCGCTGCTGGATTTGGTTGGGACAGTTCCATTAACTCCATTTGTAACTCCCGTTCCTGAGACAACATTAATGGTAAATGAGACAGTGAAACAAACGGCTGAATCATCCTTTGATGTAACAGAAGAGGAATTAAAGCTTTTGAAATTTTTGGAGTCACAGCCAACTACTAATCAGTTTGGTGTGTATTGTATATCGGATATACTTAATAATATCTAATTTCTTGATCTTTTCAGACACAAAATCATATGTTCAAACTGAGGTTTCACCCACTCCATATCGTATTGTCAAGTGTTCAAATTGCAATGTTCTCTTTGATTTAATGTCTTTCCAAACACATATTTGTGATTATGACGAACACCACAATCTAATTGCTCCACCAATAACATCAACACCTCTCAGCAAACCAATAAAAGAAGAACCATTACTACCAGTAGAACCTGCATGTATTCGTTTATTGCGTGAAAATCAAATTCGAATCCGACGATTTTTAAAAGATGAACTTAAATATGATGTGAACGCTTCCGTAAGTAGTAATACAAGTAGCTCTGGCAATCCGTCGAGTGGCACATCAAACATATCACTGGGATCCAATTCTTCGGGAAATACATCTAAAAAACAAGATGGACCCCATGAGTGTACATTATGCGAACGTAAATTTGTACATGCTTCAGGTTTATTACGGCACATGGAGAAACATGCTATGGATCTTATTCCGACACCTGGCGTATTAAGTGGTAAAACAGCCACATCACAAGGCAGTTCATTGCAGAGCGTTAATGGTCTACGTGTCGTCATTAAATGTACCTTATGTGGCCGCGTATTTTTTGAACCCATTGCTGCTTTCAAACATTTGTGTTCTCATTTTCCTGCTGGCGCTGAAGAAGAAAAGGAGTTCGATAACTGTGCCGAGATTCCATATGAGTCGTACGTTGATGACGCTATGAATTTTTTGAGCTTGGAGGTAAAGTTCAAATCTTCATTTTTAAGTTGCTTGTAGGTATGTATTTTAGTAAGTACATACAAAAACCATTGCATTATAATATTTATCAATCAACCAATCTCATTATATACATATGTACATATATTTAATTTTCAAAATAAATTTGCTTTGCTCCTACAACTTATTTAACCCATCTTTGTAGGCAAGTAGCTGTCCTGGAATGATGACAATGCACGGAGATAAACCTCCCGTTTATCTTAAAATGGTTATTTTAAGCTGCATTTTGCAGTGTGAATTTTGTGATTTTGTTTTCTCAGAAGTATCCTATCTGTTTGTACACTCGGCTTGTCATTTGCCCGAGCGCCGATTTGAATGCTTCTCCTGCGATATTTATATGCGTACGTCCAAAGAAATTTGTGCACACTGGCAAGCGGAGTGTGTGTTTATGCGAGAGAACCTAAAGGTGAATCAGGCGACCACTCAACGTTATTTTGTTTGTAATGTATGCGAGAATAAATTTCAATCTCTTGATCAGTTGCATGAACATAGGTAATTAGTTTCAGATCTTTATAATATCAATTATATACATTTTTTACTCGTCTTTATTCTAGGTATACATCATATCACTTCTTTCCACGCTTGAATAAAAGCGTTGGAGTATTGCAGTTACCTTGCGAGTACTGCGATTTAGTATTCGAAAATGCGCAAGAGTGTGTGGCTCATTACGAAGAAAAACATTATAAAAAATATAAGCGTGACAAAGATGGAGCAGGCACCTCAAGTAAAACCCGTCAATACCTGTGTGATATGTGTGGTAAATCATATACCCAATCAAGTCATTTATGGCAGCATTTGCGTTTTCACCAAGGTAGATAGTTTCTTTGATTTTAACTAAAGTACCGTTAAACAACGGATTTTTACAGGAGTAAAGCCATTTGCATGTAAGGAACCAGGTTGTACACGTAAATTTACAATCCGTCCAGACTTGAATGATCATATACGTAAATGTCACACTGGGGAGCGTCCATATCATTGTTTAGTTTGTGGTAAACGTTTTCTAACCGGTTCAGTTTTCTATCAACATCGTCTCATACATCGCGGCGAGCGACGTTACGAGTGTGAGGAGTGTGGAAAACGTTTTTACCGGGCTGACGCATTAAAGAATCATCAACGTATTCATACTGGTGAAAAACCATTTGGCTGTCTGTTTTGTACAAAGAACTTCCGCCAACGCGGCGATCGTGACAAACATATAAGAGCTAGACATTCACATTTGGATGCCAATGCACGGCTGATGATGCAAATGCAAAAACTTCAGCTAGAAGCTGCAGCGGCTGCAGCTGCCGCTCAAGTAGTTGTCCAACAACAGAATAATGCAAATAATTCTATTGGTACAAATGGAATACCCACTGTGACACCTACGCTCATGAGCATGCCGTCTGTTTGCAACGATATAATTGATGGTCTGGAACCGTCAATGGATCCGAACGAAGTTGTTATGATCGGAAATGTGGCATTCCCGAAAAGTATGTTTGAATCTATTATTCCAGATATTGATGAAGAATCGGCACTTAGGGCCATGGAACAGTTGCAATAATACGCCCGAGAAGGTGTCTGTTATAAAAATAATGCAATAAATAATTTATTATCAAGTGCATAGCACATTCAAGATACAAACTCTGATGTTAATATATCGATAGTATAATTTAACTTATAGTAGATTCAATTTGTTATTTTGTAAACTCATAACTTATTGTAGTATTGAATGAATTATATTGTGTTTTTTATGTTTAAATACATACATACATGTGTGGGTAGTTTGTTTATGCATGTAATGGATTGAAAATTTGAAATAAACAAATTATCTTACAAAATGGTAAATATACATATTTTGGCTAATTACCTTCCAAAGTTGCAAGTTTCTGTACCGACTCTTACCACTTGTATGAAATGCAGTTGATTGACCTGTTTTTATTTAAAAATATATTAACAAACGGTTAATTTGTTGCTTAAATTGCATTTGAATTTATAAATTTTGTAGCATAACTCAGGCAAGAAACTGTTATACATCGTTGGGAAAAACCACAGCAACACTGAAATTCGTTGAATCAGCTGTTTTATTCCATTAAAAAATTCCGAGTCACTACGCTCTTTTTTTTTTATCAAGTTCAATTGGATATTTGTGAAGTGAGCGTAGAATTAAAAGTTGTAAAAATAAGGCTGAAAAAACTGCCGAACTATTAAGAAATTGTTCTAAAGGTAAAATTGATTAATTGAACAGCTTGCATAATTTATAAGGTTGTATATTATACTATATTTTTTGGTGTCAAGTTTTCAGCTCTCAATCGCTTGGTATAGTAGATTTGAGTGTATGTTTGTATATTAATAAAGTTTTTATCTTACGCGAAATAGTAATATTGAAGTATATAGGTAAATAGGTATGCACTTATCATTGTGTTCACAAATTATTCAACGGAGGTACATATGTTTCTGCAAATTAGCCGGCTATTCAGCGCGTGGCAGGCAGGCAATGCAACTAAGTCATATATGGCTGTGTATATGTGTACGTCCCCACGTATATGCATGTGTGCATAATCAGTGTATAAATTTTCATTAGGGTGATATATTGGAATCTAAAATTTTAGTATATTAATTTTTTTTATTTTTGAAATAAATTGTCTGCGTTTTACAAAAGAGTTCTTTGTACCTGAAAGCTGGGAAATTTTGTTTTGTTGTGATCCTAAACGTCAGTAGGCGTATACTTATACACTTGAAATATTGTATAAAATAGTCAATAGTATATGTGCTACTTTCGGATTATTTTAATGCAGATATAAATAGTACTTCAATAAACACAGAACTGATAACAAAAGATACACATATATTTAATAAGCCTTTGTCGCTTATTTCTTATTTGCCATGTATGCAATTTTGCGGTGCATTAATACCCACTGATGTGATATATATCTGGAACGTTGTCAGCATTTTCGAAAATTCTCGAAATTAAAGCGCAGCTTACTTTCAACTTTTTGTTAACAAAATGCATTGATTTCGCTTTCATGTTAACATGATATTTAAGTCATTTGCGATTTCAAAATCAACTTAATAAACCTTTTTTTCTTGCATCCGTATATTCTCCCTTTTCGTATGACATATTTTCCAAGTTTCTAACGCAAGTTCTTTTCCAATAATTTCAGTTTATGATCTCTTCCAAATTTTCCACAAATCCCAATTACTAACAGTAAACTCTTCTTAAAAGAAGAGTAGAAATGTAAGTACAAACTTCTTCACTAAAATTTCATTCCATTTTCCAAAATCAAAAATTTACTTTCAGTTTTAAAAAGTTGCAAAACCCACCAATAGACATCTAACGATGTTTAGCGTTAGAAGAACTTTAGCGTCATATAAGAAAATTCGCTTGGCCAGTTTACAGTTCTTAGTTCTTAACAGAAATTCGGGAGAAGTGGGAAATTCACTCAACACAAGACGATTTGGTAGTTTATTATTGAGGCAAAATTCACATCTTAGTACAAATAAATATAACTTAAGGTACTGGCAAAATTTGTTCTTGCACATACATACATATGTATACATTAGTTTAACATACTGAGTTGTCACCATTTTCGAAATCTTTCAATTACAGTTCCGTCAATTCATTTACACGCGCCATGTCTTCCGCCAACACAGCTCATTTTGTTTTGCCTAATACACAACCAATTGCTGATTTGGAGTGTAAAAATGCTTTCTGTGGCTTAACTGAAAAAGAGAAACTTTACGCCCATTACTTCAGCAAAGCCTCATGGGATGGTGGCCTCATCGCACTGATACAGTCCAGTCCAGAAGCACCATTGATTTTCTCATTACTGCACCGTATTTTCGTTTCCGAACCTTTAGAGGAGCTCAAGGTCAAGGTTTTGGCGAATGGTATTAGCGAAGAGGATTTTACTGTAAGTATTGGAAGACTTAAAATGTTTCTAATATGAGGAAATCTGATATTTTATTGTTTTTGTTTTGTTGCTATTCTCTTTCAGGCTTTCTTAGTCTACGCTTGCGGTATTTTCGCCAATGCTGGCAACTATAAAGGTATGGGCGATAGTAAAATCATTCCGAATTTAGATGAAAAGAAATTTGAAGCAATTGTACGGTTATCGTCCGCCTACTCCAATGATAAACGTGTATCCGCTGCCTACGAAAAGGCCGCACCACTTATTTATGCGTTGAAACCGCGTAATGAAATACTGGGATTCGCTCCAAATGGTATAACAACATACTGGTCTGAGAATTGCACAAAAGAAGATGCGGACATTGTCAACGAATGGCTGACATCGAAACGTATCGAGCCTTATATGTGTCGTACATTTAAGGTGGTGGAAAATGGACAAACAGTTTATGACATAAAACTTGGCTCTGTCGATTCTACAGATAAGGATGGTATTACTTTACCATTGGAGAATTTTAAGGGCAATAGTTTTCGCGTGACGCGTGGTGATTACCAAAAATTATTGCAGCGTGTTAATGAAAATTTGGAAAAAGCGAAAAAATATGCAGCAAATGAAAACGAAGAAAAAATGATTGAGCATTATATTAAATCCTTCCAGGAAGGCTCATTAGCTGATCACAAAGATGGTTCGAGGTAGGTGACACAAGTCGAATATAATGCATGCATAAACGAATATCCGATTTTTTTTGTAGATGGTGGATTAAGGATAAGGGACCAGTGATTGAAACATATATTGGTTTCATTGAAACATATCGTGATCCAGCAGGTGGGCGCGCAGAATTCGAGGGTTTCGTTGCTATGGTTAACAAGGAGAGTTCTGCAAAATTTGCGGAGTTGGTTGCACGCGCTGAGAAACTGTTGGAATATTTACCTTGGACAGAGGCGTATGAGAAGGATACTTACTTGAAACCTGATTTTACTTCACTAGATGTGCTGACTTTTGCTGGCAGTGGTGTGCCAGCTGGAATTAACATTCCCAATTGTACGTAAGATCAAAATATAATTAATATTACTTTTATCTGGGCAGTTATAATTAAAGTTTGACTCTAAAATTTCATTCTGAAAATATTCAAACTTAATTTTTTTTAATTCAATAATATTTGTATTTATTGAAAAAAATTCAACTTCTAGATGACGAAATCCGTCAGGATGAAGGTTTTAAAAACGTCTCGCTTGGCAATGTGTTGGCTAATATTAATCGCAAGGATCCTATACCATTTCTCTCCGATGAGGATCAAGAGTTGATGAAGGAGTACAAAGTAAAATCCTTCGAGGTTAATATTTTCATTTTTTTTCTCTAATAAAAATATTAATTCATGCCGAAAACATCTCTTGGGCACAGGTACAAGTTGGTTTACACGAGCTGCTCGGTCATGGTAGCGGCAAGCTATTCCGCATAGATGAAGATGGCAATTTCAATTTCGACAAGGAAAATACGAAAAATCTCATTACCGGCGAACCCATAACAACTTGGTATTTACCAGGTGAAACTTACGATACGAAATTCGGTGCAATCGGCTCTTCCTATGAGGAATGTCGTGCCGAAGCAGTCGGCCTGTATCTTTCATTGCAATCGGACATTTTGGAGATATTCGGTTTCAAAGATCCTGTTGAACAGGAGAAAATCGTTTACATTAATTGGTTAAGTTTAATTTGGAATGGTATGGGTGTAGCATTGGAAATGTATAATCCACAATCGAAATTATGGATGCAGGCACATTCCCGGGCACGCTTTGTTATTATGAAGGTACTTTTAGAGGCGGGCGAAGGCTTTGTTACCGTCGAGGAGATCGAAGATGGCAAAAATTTACGCCTCACTGTTGATCGCACGAAAATTCAAACCGTAGGCAAGCAGGCCATCGAGGAATTCTTAAAGAAGCTGCAAGTTTACAAAACCACCGCCGACATTGCAGCTGCCACAAAAATGTACGAACACTACTCAGAGGTCAGTGAAGGTGGCTCACATCCATGGGCTAAATGGCGTGACATTTGTCTCGCACATAAAAAGCCACGCATTATTCTGGTGCAGGCCAACACCGATGTGGAGAGTGAAAAGGTGAAATTGAAGACATACGATGCCACACACGAGGGTTACATCAAGTCGTGGGTGGAACGTTATCCTAACACGGAAATCGATGATATACTGGAAGAAATCGCCGAAGAGGAAAAGAAATACTTTCCAAGTGCCTTTGGAAATTAGAAAGAGTGCTTTTGTTATTACTTTTCCGAAAAGTGTAGTATATTGAAGCAATATTGATAAATGTATGATGATTTTCAATTGTAATTAAGCAAACATTTTTCATGAACATTGCTGTTTTGTATTACAACAAATTGATGATGAAAAATAAAAGTGCATTTTTTATGAAAAAAAAAAACATTGTACAGTTAAAACTATCATTTAGGCAGTTCACACTTTTCGTATTTGACAGGCAACAAAGTTGTGGATATTTTCCTCACTCTCGTTTGCTGGCGGCGATATAACAAAACGTGCGAATGTGCCGCCATTATTATCGGCCAAACGTCCGGGATTTATAGCCAAACAACCGTTAACAACCTGCAATGAAAGGCATACACATATACATATATCAAATGGGGGTGCTCTAATGATAAATTCTTTCAATATTTACCCGTATGAAGCACTTCTGATCACTCGGCAGTATCAGTATGTTTGGTATTTGTTCAATTTTAGCATATCTTGCAGCCAAAAAGCTATCAAAACTCATTTCATCGCACGCCGGTGGTTGTAAAGGATAAAATGAGCCTTGATGGAAGAGATGATTGACGACACGCTTTACTTTATCGCCAGCATTGCTGAAAAAAAATAAAGTGAAATTTCAATAAATTTGAACATTAAGTTAATTGAAGAAATCCATTTCTATATTATTTTGCAACTCACAAAGCCAACTCATGCGAAATTATATGCTGCACTATATCGGTTGTTGTCATGCCCATAACGATTCCATTCAAATCGATCATCGACGGATCTGGCAAGACGTGCACATTCGGATAGGATTTCCGCAAAGGCACGGACATAGTGGGATAAACAGGGTCGGCATTGGCATCTTTATGTGAAGTGACAATTAGAATCTTAGTCATTGTACTGTAAAGAAATTTACAAATTACATATTTACTTAGTAATATGATTAAAGTATGTACTACATATGTACATAAATATATATACTAGGTGTGTTCAAAAAGTATCGCGAATTTTGAATTTTGGCGTTATGTTGGTACTCATGTTTGTCACTTCTGCCGAGAAGCTCGGCCATTTTGAATGTTCACTTAATTGTTGACAGCTGCTTTGTATGCACGTGTTTTGGATGGTCTTCGATTTTTAATTTTTAAAGAAAGTTTTGCTGACAGTTTTCTTCGATTGCAGGGGTGTGGTGCATCATGAGTTCTTACCACAGAGTAGAACGGTCAATAAGGAAGATTACCTGCAGGTTATGCGCAATTTGCGCGAAGCAATACGCCAGAAACGCCCGGATTGGTTGAAGAACAAAAATTGGCTTTTGCACCACGAAACGCCCCTGCTCACACATCGTTGATTGTGCGCGACTTTTTGGCCAAAAACAATACACTAGTGATGCCGCAGCCACCGTATTCCGCAGATCTGGCTCCCTGTGACTTTTTCTTGTTCCTTAAACTGAAGAGGCCCATGAAAGGACGACGTTACGCTACGATTGACGAGATAAAAACGCATCGAAGGAGGAGCTGAACAAGATAAAAAAAAATGATTTTTGAAGTGCTTCGAAGATTGGAGAAACCGTTGGCACAAGTGTATAATATCTCATGGGGATTACTTTGAAGGGGACAAAATAGATATTCATGAAAAAATAAATAATTTTTGAAAAAACACAAAATTCGCGATATTTTTTGAACACACCTCGTAGAAGAAATTAAGGGGCGAAAAAGGTAAACAAATTATGCTTTATTTCAATGATGTAGGACGTCAATGCCTTTTGCACGGCTTGAAATTTGCTTGATATTCAGTTTTGAGACTTCTTCCAGGCCTCTGAGGTTTATAGATGACTAAGATATATTCTAGCTAAGGCCGCACAGAAATAGATAAAGTGTTCAAACGTCTTACTTATGCCAATCCCTTACACTTTCTGCCTGAGTCACTACGTGTAATGCCGTTACCGTGGCCTGTCGTAAGCACTACAACTGTGCGCTGTCACTTCACCCGATATGGGCGGTCTTGTAATACCAACACATGACCCCAGGCGACGGACGTAGCATCTAGTATTTTCTTGCATGTGTAAAGGGCATTACCACCTTTTTATATCCTCTACTCGACATTGAGTTTCTCCAACAGCTCGCTGTTACCTGTCACTTGATGTGTTATTTAAGCGTGAGTTGCACACCATGGAACATTGGAGGTGTCCTCACAGTAAGCAAACTTGTACGTTCTTATAAAAGGTACCTATTCTCAACATTTTCCAGAAATTTCACCAGTGTCGCCCGTAGATGTATTACTTTTAGAGCGTTCCACATCATTATATAGCTATGTCATATACCGTTACCTTAGTGGTCCTTTCATCTCAAACTGACTGTAAAGTCTTGTTTCATTCTATTTCGCCTTTAACCTTTTGCAGCTCTATAGACTTTTTATACGTAGGAAGAGCAGTAACAGAATCTGCAGGTATGGTTGAAATGTTCCGAATGAAAGCTGCAAACATACCATTTGTTCCATGAGATTTAAACGGTTCGGAGCCGGTTCGATTGCCCAAAATATTATGTCTTTTCTATTGTTTTGTATTTTCTGTGTTGACCAGGTCTAGCAGCGCATACTCACTGCATTCAGCCCACCTAAACATGTCTCCCATATTAGTTCGGTTGTTGTAGTATCGATTGGTTATCGGGGAATATTGTGGGAGCGACAGGCATTGGCCGGGTCGTTCCAGTGTAAAAATCCGACTGTCACGGGAACTATTGGATTTTAGTTGCCTTATCACAGGTAAATTCGTGCCCAAACCCGCAGCACTATAACTTAGTTGTTATTTTTTCCATAATAAAAATATTCACCAAAGTACTTTTTGGGGAATGTTGCTGGAGTGAGAGTCCTTGGCCGGATAAAAATTCGGGCCATTCCGGTATAAAGACCCTACTGTCGCGGGAACTATTAGATTTTAGTCGCCTCTTACGACAGGCATGCCTTAGCGCGGGTAAATTCTTGAATCCCTTAGCCGCAGGGGGTTTTATAACTTACTAATTACCTCGGTTGTGTTTTCTACTTTGCCGTTCGCTGTACTCAGGACTCTTTAAGCTTTAGTTAAGTTTAAGTGATCTTGTGCATCAGTTTTTAAACTTCGTTTAAGAAACAAAGACTTCCGCAATAGCCAAGTGGTTTGCATTGCGTACCGCCCTTCGTAAGGCCAGCATTTGAATCCTGGCTCGACCAACATAAAAAATTGTAGAAAAATAATTTTTCTAATTGTGATCGCCCATCGGCAAGAGAATGTCAAGCCCTCCGAGTGTATTTCTGACACGAAATAAAAGCTCCTCATAAATATCCAACGGCCATTCGGAAACGGCTTAGACGACCCCTCCATTTGTCGGTAAAACATTAAGACGCAAACCAAAAATTTCAAGGAAGAGTTCGCCCAAAACTCGCTTCAAGGGTTACTAAAGGTGTAGCCCTGCTTCTGGGCATACATTTATAGTTGCAAGGATATACTCAATTCCAGCTCTTTGGTTCTCATCAAATACTCTGAAAACGTGTATAGCCCCCCTTGTTCGAGATGCAATAACTTAATCTTTGTTGAGCCTTGGGTCATGATTTAAAGAGAGAAAACTTTGGTGGAGCCACAGCGACATATCCAGAAGAGTGGCTGCATCTTAGAGATACCTTCCGCATTAAAAACTTATGGAATAAAAAAATGTCAATACTTGCCAAATACATGAATAAACAATACAGTTGTTACAAACATACCCAATAGCTTCCACAATGCTCGTTATCATCTTTTCAAAAAATGATTCAAAAGATTCGGCCAATGTTAGATTTTCGCTGATCAACTTGTGTTCTGCATCCAAAAATGGGCCAGTCAATACCAGTACATCTGGCTTGTGATCTTTTAGGTATACAATCAAATCTTGTAATGGTTCATAAGCAAGATCATCGTCATTCGTGTAGGGACCCGCAGCAATAACAAAACTCAGTGGATCCGTAAGACTTGGCGTTGTGGGTGGACTTAGTTGACGTTCAGTGAATACTTCATCCACAATAAATGTATCGCCTTTGGGATTTTTACCCGATACAATCGCTATTTGACCGGGGAAAACTGCAGCCGATTTAGCTTTTGAGAAATTCAAGCGTACAGTTAGGCAGCGAGCCTCATCAGAGCCGGCTAACATGGTTGAAGAGGGATCTAATGGACCTTCATGATCACAGCAAATAGTGCCGATTGTCTTTGTCAATTCCTGTGGGAAAGAGAAAGGCGTTTATTAAATACATATATATATAAATAAAAGATAAAGTTTTTTATTTTTTATAATCAATAAAATAGAGGATCACGCGCGTCTAACTAACTAAAAGACAACTGTGACTGTCACTAATTCATGTACACACGTACCACTGTACACGCCTACTCGTCTAAATTTCGACTTATTCTTTTCTTCTTTTTTCGAACTCTACCAACCCACCCACCTGTGAATGTTCGTCCACTTGACTCAGCTCATAATCGTCCGCATTCGCGCCAAACACCTTTTTACACAAATCTTTGCCAATGTGAAAAATGCGATCAGCTGCGATATCACACCTCTCGCGCAAACAGTCGTACATGTAATTGGATTTCGGCTCATCGAGTGTTGCACCTTTATGGCGCAGCAATTGTTTTACGTCGATTTTCTTTTGCTTTGCGGATGCCCATTTTGCGGTGCCGATAAGCGTTGGATTGCCAAAAGTGTAAACGATCTTGCCGGAGCCCGCTAAGGCAGTGTGGGAGCGTGGTGTGCCAGAGCTTTTGAAAGAAAAAAGAAAAGAAAAATAAAAAATCTCTATACGAGTATATGTTTGTATGTGCATCATATCGGTGGGCAATGAATAACGAAAGATTGCCTCGACAATAAATGTGGGTGTTTGAATTTAACCGTAAAAGGTGATATAATAAAAATTTATTTGATCACAGCAATAATGGTGGTTGGCGTTCAAAGCCTGGCTAATGCTGTGGGTTGACAACATACAAGCGTAAATGTCAGGTACATTGAAGCTACTATCCTGCTGAGATTTTATTTCAATTTCTGTTGCTGTTTTTTATGCGGATACCGTTATTTCTAGCAGTTGTACTAATGAAAAACTGAAGTGAATTGATAATTTTGCCTTTAAAGTGGCCAAAGTGACCAATTTGAGGTGTGTGTTTTTGGTATTTTACCAACAAGGGAGCGTCCACAAGCCACGTGGTAATACTTTAGGACCTCCGGCACCACTCTCAATCTTTATGTAATCCGCGGCCTTTAGCGCTTGCTGTGACCGCCCCCTGCACTTTTTTATTGAATTTTTCCCACGCCTTCGTTCGCATGTAATTTCAAAATGCTTCGATATACTATGATTTTAATTCATTTTTAACGTTCTTCATTTTAGGGATGTTTGAATACTCATAATATATAAGAATTTTTTATTGCAATATTTTCAAATATATCGATTCCAGACCCACTACCCGGAAGAAAGAGTCTTCCCGATGTCAATTTAGACAAAGAGCCACCTGAGTACCAAATTTCACGTGAATTGTACGATTTAAAAATAAATATTTTTCTTTTCGAATAGTTCGGTTTGAGATCCACTTGATAAAAAAAATTGTTGTGGACGCCAAAGTCATTCGCTGAACACACTCACCAAGTTTGAGGTGCTGTCGTTATTGTTTACAGCGGCTTTCCAACCATGCTTAGGGGTAGGCGAGACATCTAACGAGAAGTATAAGAAAAGAAGCTGCTTCGACGGGTTGCACCAGATGGAAATAGGTATTAGATGAATGGGTTTCAAGGAGCATGCAAGGAGGTGGTTAGTGTCCGGATAAATAAGAATTAAGACGACAACAATTTCGTTATCTTAATTGTGGATATCTCGAGGCAGCTCGAACTTTGCGTGCGCTTCAAACTCAGTTAGATGCATCCAATGCATAGGCTGAAGGCATCTCAGCCCTTAAAATAAATAAAGAGAGGGCCACGGCTACTAACGTAGCTCCATACTGTCAGCGTTCAACTGTGTCCCAAGCTCTCACTGCTGTGCCCTCTGCACCTCTGCCTTCTTTGGGTAACCATCCTGAGACCTCCACGGTCCAACAGAGCTTCCCCCAGGATGAGTTTCAAGCTTCCTCACGTCCCTCCATATCCGCTTGTCCGCTTGTCCGCACAGTTCGTCGGGTGAGTCAAGCCATAGTGCCTTAAAACGTGACATCCGCCAAGTGCAACTCTTGCTCTGGCAGGTGTCATTTTGGACGTACTCCGGCCTGCGCACCATTCGTAAGTGGAGTAACGCCTCCGTTGCCCCAAGCTGTAGGAGTTTGTCTCCCACTTCAGTTGCAACACTGCCGTCAACCACCACCTATGCACATCATCTCTTCTTTTCGCTGTCTGGCGCCAGTTGGAAATACCAAATGAAGCCTGGTCACTCTCGACCTGATCTCTCCAAACGAATTGGAGGTCTTCCTCTTTCTCTGCTTCCACCAGCGGGTACTGCATCAAATACTTTCAAAGCTGCAGTGCTTTCATCCATTTGGACGACATGACCTAGCCAGCGTAGGCGCTGTCTCTTGATTTACTTGAAATTTGATAAACAAATTAAGATAAGTACCACTTTTTCTTTCTTAAAATAGACTGGTCACCGAACCATTCAAAAATCGTGTTTGTAGGTGGAATTACTTCAAATTCATTCCTTTCCAGCTAGCGGTCAGATACGAGGAAGTTCACAGATAGTTTTTCGCCTAATAACCACTTTTTCTTTCGGAAAGGGGACCAGGGCCGAGCTATAACAACGAAATCTCATTTATGGTTTAAATTACTTCAAATTTGGTACACAAGAACATAGCTTTTTCGGCTAAGTTAACACAGCGGTTTGGCTTTTTACGGAAAACGGACACTTACTGCTAGCTAGGCGACGACGAGCTGAAGAGTAAAGTAAACAAGAAGTAAACCATTCCCCGCATCGCTATCTAGTTTGCTAAAAACGGATGTCCTCTGTGGTCCACTAGGTGGCGCATGTGTCGAGTTACACCGAATACCTAAATTTTTTAACCGATTTTAACGACCTTTGAAACGTGTGTATAATATATGTGCAGTGGGAAATATTGTTAAAAAGGGATCTCTTCCTGCGAAGAAAAATATCAGATTCAATTCAGCCGCCTTCGGCTTTACATTTCAAAGTCCATTAAGCACCATACCTCTACCACGTTTCAATGATTAAAAAACAAAAAAAAATATGTTGAAAACTTTCTGTATGCCGTCTTACATCATCTAATGGCCTGCAAACAAAGTCATTGGACCTCTATGCAATTGCCTAAGGTAAAAAAAAAATATAAAAAACTGACCATAATTGTAATTGCGCATACGACAGCAAACAATCAAAGACTGAAAGAAAACTCATTAGTTGTGCATTTTAATTGAGTAAAGCTGCAGAAATTGTCATCGACCAGAGTGAAAACAAATAAACAATCAAATCTGCCTGCGAATGGCGTTGACAGCGGTACCGTCGAGCGGGTAATAAACCAACCAGTCAACGTCAATTTTCTAAAGCAACAAAAAAAAAAACCAAGTGGAAAGCTACCAACGCTCCACCAGCATTTTTCAATTATTGCCCAAAAATGAAATCAAAGGAGACGACATAAAATTTGATCATTATTATCAACATTATGGCCGGAGTATCGCTTTAATCAAATTGCGATGCAAAATTTCATACTTTACTCGTGTGGAAATAGAAATGTGTATGAATGAAAACGAACAGAAAGAATCAAATTGGCACATGAAATCGCCGCAATAAGGCATTAAGCGTAAATAAATAAATACAAAAAGAGAAAGAAACCGAAAAAATTAGGAAATCACAAAATGCCGGTGACCGACGTCATCACCCCTCACGAGCGTATATGTATGTACGAGTACATCAACCCACCACAAAATGCATGCAGTTAGTTAGTCGGTCAGTCAGTCAGTCATTCTGTTGGGCTGCCTGTCTGTAAGTTGCTGTTGACGACAGCGTGACCAGCCAACCACATTGCCAGCCAGTGAAGTCCAATTGAGTCTAGGCTTTGCTCATTGCCGCTTGCCCAGTACCGTTGCGGCCATTCGATAAACTGTTTTTCGCAATCCTTTGCATCTGATGCAAAATTAAAATAAACAGTTAAGGCAGAGCAGGCTTCCTTCGGAAGAAGCTTTAGCAAAACAACCAAGGTAATATTGAAAATAAAGTCAAGATTAGATTTGTAAAGTTCTTAAACGTCTACTGTTTGTCATGCACTGGGTGGTGTCAGAAACGATTATTCTGTATTTGGTCCAAATCTCCGCTGTAGATAACCGTCGAACATTTCATCTGACGCCGATATCACCGGTTCCAACAAATGATCGTTTAAATTCACCGCGCATCTGTATACCATGTAAAAAAAACTGAGGGACTAGTTTGCGTCCAAATAGACGAACAGGCGGGTATGTCTAATCAACTCAACTCGACATTCTGGCCCTATCCGTATAAAATATGATGGGTCTATTACGAATACTTCTTGTACTTACATACTTCGGGCCAAAGTTATTATACCACTAAACCACTTCAAACATTTTGCTTTGACGTGGCTTAGTGGCGATTGAAGCTAATTTCATCTATCTAGAGATCAGCATTAACACCAATAATAACGTCAGCCTTGAAATCCAACGCAGAATAACTCTATCTATCATCTATCGACGAACTAAAACCAAACTCTACAAGTCACTCATCATTTCCGTATTCAAAAGAAGTCTTGGGAAGGATCTATGATCTTTTACTCCTTAGCTACAGCGAATACCGTGGAGAATGAAGAGACACTGGCTAAGTTGGCCTGAAACTATGTTCGCATCGAAAGATTCAAAATATCTTGTCCCAGTCTCTACTCCATCTGACAACAAGATCAGTTAAACATATTAGCTTGAGACAATAATATGACTGAAAATTCTACAAGAAGATGCGGCCATGTACATATACAAAATTTCCTGTTCTTCGGCACAAAAGATCGAGATCATGTGATGAGGATCCAAGCAGCGGTAGCGGCTCGATGGTATGCAACCGTTAGTATACAGGCGCAAACCCAGTCCCCTTCCCTATGACCCTTAAATCTCAGAAAGAATACCAAAAATATAATTCACCTTTATTTATGAACGTTTTTTTTTCTACATATTCTATCTTGGAACCAGCATCAACAATACCAATAACAATGCCAGCCTTTAAATGCAGAGATCTTGAGAATTAAACACTCTCTAGGCAGACAAACACCAAACTCTACAAGTTCGTCATTATGTCCATCCTGCTTTATGATGCAGAAGCATGGAGGATGACGACATCTGATTAGACGACATTAAGAGTTTTCGAGGGAAAGGTTGCGGAAAAGATTCATGGTAATTTTCGCAATGGGAACGGCGAACACCGCAGACAATGAAACCTTGAGCTGTACGAGATATATGACGGTATTGCCTTAGTTTCGCCAATTAAGGCACAAGGCTTTGAAAGTTTTTGAAGCAGTACATATCGGTGGAGGCAGAGCAAGAGAAAAACCTTTACTGTGTTGGAAAGATCAGGCGGAAAAGAACCTGGCTTCACTTGGTGTTTTTAATTGGCGCCGAGAGGCTAGGAGAAGTAACGAAATGCGTAAAAGATGTCTACGCCCATAAAGAAGAAAAACGGTCCTAGTAGCTGAATTGTGGCAGTGCGTGCTACAAAGCGATGAAGTGATGGAGTGCTAGCCATCAGGCCAACAATTAATATTTTTCCTTTGAAATGTGGTCGGCCTGCCGCAGAGAATGCCAATATTTTCGACTATTTTGCTGACATGAAATAAAAAGCTTCTGATAAAAAGTTCAACAGTTTTTCGTAGGTGGCTTTAAAACTGTTGCTCGGCTTGATGGTAAGCATAAAGACGCACGCCACAAAACGGCGGAGATCTGGGTCAAAAATCTTCTGCTGAAAATGTTCAGTTTTTTTTCTTTTCAGACCGAACTATTTTTTAGAGACTTCCAGCCAGATCAGTTACTCTCCTCGAAGACATACTAACATGTATTTTTAAACAATATAATAGAATCAAAGGACGAACAAAATTAATATACCAAAGTATGATGCACTGGGTATACAATAAAAAAAACATAAGCAATCAAAAAAAAAAAAAAAAAAAATAGAGAAAATCTAACGTAACTATGACCTGTAGCAAAAATGCCAGAAGCATAACCAAATATAAGACGCCGCTGCAATGCCGCCGAACCGTGTGAGCAGATAACCCATACATACCTTCGTATGTAGATTCACATACATAAGCTTGAATGCTAGCAGCTAGCAGCGCTAAACATATGTCCATATGTAGTTATATTGTATGTGGAATGAGAAGCGCCAAACGTCAAGCGCCGCACGATGCATCACATTATGCATAAGAGGTAAAATCATATGAAACATTATAGCCTTTTCCTTATACATTAGGTATGTACGACTATACTATATATGTACATTTGTTAAGTATTTTTTTTTTGTGTGTCAAAAGATGTTGAGAGCGCGAGTGCCTCAAGATGTTTGGTTGGATGGTTGTGGTAATCTATTTTGGTTGGTGATGGCGATATTACTACACGGAGGTACAGCGTCGTAGGTTTTCGCAATTCCCAGAAGCGTGAGTTGTGACTTGGGGAATTATTTGAAAAATAGTACAAAACAAAACAAAAAAAAAACATTACAAACAAAATTAAAAACTCCGAATTTGTTTAGTGAGTAGTATTTGTACTTTTTTTGGTCTTATTTTTCGAGGCAAAGTTGTAAAGCGAGAAAAATAATTTATTTAATAGTTGAAGTGTTTTTTTACTTATCTCTTAAAGGACTTCATTAAAATGACTGTTCTTGGCCGCTGCACCCAAAAATTATTGTATTTTAATTAAGAAAAAAAAGTAAACCATTTTTTTAATCAGAATTGTCCGATTTATGCTCAATAAGCCCGTTTAAGGTATATACATATGAACCTTCCAATTAAGCAAGCCCTTATCGATAAGTGTGGTCTGGTGTTGTCCTGATCACCTCCTGTTTTTGGCCGAAGCTGTACGCTGCTGGGCGATTGCTTCCTTCAGACAACCCAATTGCTAACAAGTGAGGTTCGAATATAGAGGTTGGCCGTAGGGGAGCAGCTAATAGTGGTTGTTTCCCTGAGAGTCCCGCCAAACGTACAACAAAACTTTTCCGGCTTTGGAGACCATTTGTGCCGGTTCACTGTCACGACCGTTAATGTTGTTGTTGTTGTAACCGCAAAAATATTTCCCAAAGTACTTTTTGGAGAATGTTGCGGGAGTGGCAGTCCTTGGCCGGATAAAAATCCGGGACGTTAACATTGTGCCACCTGTACATCGAGCTTTTTTTGTATCTAACCTTTTTCAAGTCCTTTCAAATCGTTTTTTGTGCAATGTTTTGCTCTTGAAAAGTCGAAACAGTGCTCGCATTATGGTCAGGCTCGACAATTTTTCTTATTTTATCGACATTTTCGACAATCGGCCATCCCCTCCGTGAAGCATCTTTTATATCAAAATTAGCGCAATGAAACCGAAATTGTGCATGATTGACTCTAACGGTATCATGACCATAACTGGCTTGTATTTTCGCCCTTATCGAGGAAAAACTGTAAAATATAGCGTATTTTCTCTTTGCTAGTGTCCATCTTTGACGCAAGCTCAAACAAAATTGAATCAACCAATCCAAGAACTGCTATCGCTATCTATTGGAAAAATAATGGATTACTTTTTACTACACCTAATGTTTGCTTACATAAAAGCTAAACAAGTTGACCTTATACTGACCTGGGTATCGCTTTGGACTGTGAACAGCTTCTGGAGCACTGTCTTCGAGGTACTGAAAATACTTGACGCAAAGAAAAGATTTTTGCACACGTGTATCTTTCAAAAGTTAGAATACAATTCAACAACAACAGTTTTGCTGTCCAAAAAAAATATTATATCTTTATGCTCGTACATACATATGTACTAATTATGCGTTAAACCAAAGTACTACACGAAATCAGCAGTAGTTGGAAAAGCTCTTAGAAACGATTTGGAACGAAACAATTTCTTTGTATTGTATTTTGTACCAGGACACAACGACATCGAATAAAACTAACACTAACACTATAGATCTTAAGATAAAACCTCACTAACTTTGTAATAGCGACGCAGAGCACACTCCACGCTGTTTAAGAGGGTTGGTAACAGGGCATAAGAAAGTAGCAGTAGAATGCTTGACTCCAGCCCCTGGTTATACTAAGGACGCTCAATTTAACTTAACCTATTAAATATGATCTTCTTATATCGGTTAAATATAAAATGCTATTTGGCGTACTCTCAGTAATGATGATTTATTTATTCATTGTTTTCTCTGTTTTTGTTATCCCATTCCACGAAAGTTACTGTTGAAAAAAGTTAGATTAGGAGGCCATTTCTCTCGCTTTGGTCCAGAGAAATATTTCTACAAGGGGATTAACAAAAGTTCGGTCAGGTGGTGTATTTCAAATTTGTTCATGTTAAATCTAAAAATATAAAATTCTTTGCTATTACTCCATTAGCCTTCCCATCAAGTTTTAAAAGGAACGGCTGAAATACAGACGAGAAAAAACAGCATAGCTAAGGATAGCTCAGACGAAAATTCATCACCAACGCAAATAGAAATTCGCGATGTGATTCTCTTTGGGTTTCAGCGTAATTTACAGCCAATACAAATATTCAGCGAATACCAAATTACATATGGAACGATTGCACCGTCTTTAAAGATTACTTCTAAGTGGTTCCAAAGATTACAGACCGAACATTTTTGAGTACTGTAGCTATGATGAAGTCGAAAATAGACGAAAACCCACCGCTCGACACAAAAAATGGCTGCTAATGAATTGGGTTTGAGTACTATCGCGAATATTAAGTAATCATCTAGAATATACACGAAGAAATCTGCTCGATGGGTACCAAGAATTTTAAATGAGGCCCAAAAAGAAGCTCCTAAATGAATTCGAAAATGATCAGTCTGGCAACTTTAATAAAGTTGTTACTGGTGATGAATCTTGGTTCTATATGTCATCATGTTATGGAGCCCAACAGGAGCAAACCCACCCGTAAAATCTAAGCCACAAAAATCAGCTTCAAAAGTTATGATGTCAGTTTACTTCGTAGCTGCTATTCTACTGGAAAAGGGTCAGACGGTAACTGCAAATCGGTACACCGGAAAGTGATTGCTAAATGTTTTCATAAATTTATTGGAGAACAGAACGAAAGAGGATTTGCGGCGCTACTTTTAACATCATGACACCGCGCTATGACACAGTGCTGAAATAACGAGTAATTTTATTGTGATCTCTGGGATTGAAGAAATACGTCCGGCACCAGTGCTACATCCGGGGAATGCACCTTGTGATTTCTGGTTATTTCCATAAATTAAAAAAAAATAAAAGGAGAGGTCTTTAATAGCAAGGAGATAAATAATGCGGTTAATGCTAAACTTGTTAAGCTTAAAAAGCAAAATTTAAAAGATTGTTCTCATAAGTGGATCTGTAGGCTTAAGAAATGCATTGAAATCAATGGAGGTTATGTAGAGAAGATAAAAAAGGACAAAGACTACGAATAAATATAATAAGATTTTTTTTCTTTAGGTCAGCACGAATCACTTAAAATATGAATAGAATAGAATAGAAGGAAAACTTCTTTTCTCTCCGGGTTGTCTATCATGAACCAAACTAATCGAAAGTTATTGTTATTGCATATACATATTTGTTCTTCGGCTGTGTGTTATAGAATACGTTTAACCATAATTCGTAGATTTTCTATATCGAATAAATCATTACTGTAATAAAGGTTATAGCATCCTAGAAGAACCATTCATTATTAAATCTTCTAATTGAATTTGTAGCATGACTATATTCTATGGTTGTCCGTTTACGTTTACTTAAACATTAGGGAGGGTAAGTAAAATTGGGATTTAATTAAAAAATAAAATAAAAAATTTAACAAATATAATATTTTAACAAAAACTAAAATTATATAGGGACTTTGAAAGGAAAGAAGTTTTCTTCTAGCGGTGATATATTTATATATAATCGACGTTAAAGCAATTATCCTCCGAGCTCCTCCTCCAATTTGTGGTTTTGCATTTTAATGTTTTTCCACAAATGGAGGTACCTACAGTTTACGAGTATACCGAGCCGCCTCCGAACGACTGATGCTTTTATTTCATGTCCGATATACACTCGGAGAGATTGACATTCACTACCGAGAGGCGACCGTAATTAGAAAATTTAACCTAATATTTTATTTAAATTAATTTTCTATAACTCTGGATGTTGGTCGCACCAGGATTTGAACCCGGTAATATATACATATGTATATTATTGTGATAAAGCAATAACAGAAAAACGATCTTTTCTTATATAAAAATCAAAGAAAAATTACTTTTTCGAGCTGATGCATATGTCTGAGAGTGAATGTATGTATGTCGGTTTCTCGGTATGTAAATATACTTATATATATGATAAATATACATATATTTATACAATTGCTATGCTTTATATTGCAGCTTTGTTTACTTACATTGGCGAATAACTTGCCGGACTGAAGAGTAGTGCATCGCTGTGGCGAGCAGGTGTTCTGGCCAAAGCATTCCTAGCCTGAAAGCATAATTCAAAGAGGAAACAATAACTTTAGAATATGATTTCAAATACAAATAAGAAATATACTACTAATAGGTAGGTGTGTACATACATATTTGTAAAAAAAAAATAGAAAGAAAAGAAATAATAAAATATTAGTAGAGAGGATATTTGCCATTTATTTATGTGTAGAAATAAAGTGAAAAAATAAATCGTAAAAATATGCACAATTGCAGCTGCCTCAGCAAGAACGCATGTATGTACAATATGTATATATGTATGTGCACTTAGTATGGGGTAAAGACGAGCAGATATGTGTAGTCTTAAAAGTCAATAACTTCGATGACCAAAAACTTTTGTGGGGGAAAAATCGTAATTTTCTAATACATTTTAATTTATATAATAAAATTAGTAAAATATTTTAATTATGGTTTGGATGAAAAAATTACAACAGTTTGGATTTGATTCAATCCAAGGATATCATTGATGTTATTACTGTCAGTACCGGGAGGAGCCACAATGTATAAAATATATGATGCTTCCCATCAGATATTTTAATATTTAGATATTTAACACATCGTTAAACATCTATAGAGAAGAATCATCTAAAGACTACTTCTTTCGACGACTGAAGAGATAAAAACGAGTCTCTGAATGAGCTGAGAGCCATACAGAAAATTGCATATCAGAACTGTTTTGAGAATTGGCAAAATACATTGGGGCATGTGTATCTGAGGTAATTGAAAGAAAATGGAAATTGATAAATAAATCACCCATATTCTAGAAAAGAAGTGGAATAAAAATGAAATCAAATAAGTAAAGAAAACTTTTCAATTTCAGTGTTTACATTTAAATTTTTCCTTTCTCAATGAAATTTCGAACAGCTGATGGCAGCAACCATTAAAATAATTAAGTAAAGCGAATGGAATTTGAATTTAAAAAAATTTAACAATCAAATTTAATATTCAGTAAGATGGAAATTTTTTTGAATTTAAAGAGAAAATAATATAATATGTGAGAAAGATTTAACTCCAATCTATGGTACCTAATGACGAAAAATTTAAACATATGCACATTATGTATGTAATTTTTTGTTATACCGTTACAGATAAAGGTGGTTAGTGTCGAGTGAGGACTTAATCGGCATACGAGACATATTACATGGATGTTAAGTTTATTTAATGGACATGCATGCATTCTTGATGGACATACATAGATGAAAATCTTATGAAATGCTTTGTCATGTTCGCACGTTTAATGCTAAACATTAGACTTTTTATATAATATATAACATATATATCTTATAAAAAATACATATTTATCTTATAAAAAATACATATTTATCTTATAAAAAATCGTTATATACATATATATGTAGGTTTTCCAATAAGACGTGCTATTTTAAATAGCCTGCTATTCCGGGATATGTAACTTTTGAACCTAAATTTTTTTTGACATTTGACAAGTAACTGGCGTAAAAAGGCCCATTTCCACCTCAATAAGCAAAACCGTCACATTTGGGGATCGGATAACCGAATATTTTATGTTCAAAAGCCTCTCCATCCTCAACGTGTAGCTATTATCGTGAAACCGTTTATGGTCAAACGGGGTCATTGGATCTTACCTTTTTCGAAAATGAATAGATTGTGCTATCGAGAGATCATTGATGATTTTTTATGATCGTAATTGGATGACACTCATCGGGACAAACTTCACTTTCGACAAGAGGGCGCTACATGCCACACAAGCAACGAAACCATCGATCTTTTCTAGGGTAAAGTTGCTTTGAAACTCAAAATAACACCTTTTTTCGGAATTCTCATTACTTAGGTTTTAAGCGCTTTTTCGATAAATACACAAAGCGATTTTGAAATGACTTGAAACTACGTATTTTTATGTGGAATCAAAAATACATTCATATACCATTTTACGTATAAACATTTAAAAAACTGAAAGACTATGCAGTTTGGGTTTAAACATCCGACCACTTTATCGATTTAAGTCATCATTAATCAACTCATTATACTATTCAAATCGGTATAAATTGTGCTGGATCTGTCAGTTTTCCTTCTGTTACTTACCGCATCACACGGGATGAGAACAAAGAGCTAAATTTTTTTGGCATGTCCGTCTGTTTTAATTGATGTATTGATACTGGTCATTTGTCGGAACAGTCCAGATCAGACCACTTTACTTTATAGTTCCCATACATCATTTTTTTCAGATATTAGGCTTTGGTCAAAACTTCCGCAATAAAGCATCTGCAAAGTTCGGTCAGTTGGTGACTTTCAATTTGTTTTTGTTAAATCTAAAAATATCAAATCCTTCACAATTGTTTTGTTAATCTTCCTTTCAAATTTTAGAACGATCGGATAAAATCGAGACGAGAAAACGCAAGATAGCTGAAGATAGGTCAGACGAAATTCCAACACCATCGTAAACGGAAAATCGTCATGTGATTCTCTTCGGGTAATTTACAGCCAATACAAATATTCAGTGAATACCAAATTGCATATGGAACGATTGCACCGTCTTTATAGATTATTTCTAAGTGGTTTCGAAGATTACACATCGAATATTTTTGAGTAGAGGACGAGAGGGTCGACCACTCATAACATCACTGTGGATATGATGAAGTCGAAAATTGACGAAAACCTTCGATTGACTATATAAATGATTGCTAATGAATTAGGCTTGAATCTCATGACTCTATCGCGAAAACTAAGTAATCATCTGGAATATACGGAGATATCTGCTCGATGGGTACCAAGAATTTTAAATGAGGCACAAAAAGAAGCTCCACTGCATTTTGCTTAATTTTTCCTAAATGAATTCGAAAATGGTCAGTCTGGCAACTTTAGTAAAGTTATTACTGGTGCTGAATCTTGGTTCTATAAGTACGCTCCAGAAACCAAACAGCAGTCCATGGTACGGAGCCCAACAGGAGCAAGCCCATCCGTTAAATCTAAGTAACAAAAATCAGCTGCAAAAGTAATGATGTCAGTTAACTTCGTAGTTGCTATTCTACTGGAAAAGGGTCAGACGGTAACTGCAAATCGGTACACCGGAGAGTGACTGCTAAATGTTTTCAAAAATTTATTGGGAAACGGGACGAAAGAGGCGCCTCCCCACAGTGCTGAAATAACGAGTAATTTTAATGTGATCTCTGGGATTGAAGAAATACGTCCGGCACCAGTGCTACATCCGGGGAATGCACCTTGTGATTGCTGGTTATTTCCAAAAATTAAAAAAAAAATTAGAAGGAGAAGTCTTTAATAGCAACGAGGAGATAATTAATGCGGTTAATGCTGAACTTGTTAAGCTCAAAAAGCAAAATTTTGAAGACTGTATCCAGAAGTTGATCTGTAGGCTTCAAAAATGCATTGAAATCGATGGCGATTATGTAGCGAATAAATACACAAAGAATTTTTTTTTTATTTCGGGCCAACCCGAACTTTTGTTAAGCCCCTCGTATGTTGTGATTTATAATACATTTTAAATCAAAAGTGATGAGAATTGAAAAAAAATTTCTTTTAAAACACAAATTAATTATGAATTGCACGCATACGCTTAAAACTTATTTTTGGCGTTTTTTTCTGCCTTTCTATTGATTGATCCACTCCTTAATTTACTGTTAAATACAGCACAAGAGTAAATCATAACTTTCAGATGTTCATTCCACGATATATGTACATATCTATGTATGTACATACATACATAACCACTTGGGCATACTAACCCCTGTACCATCATAACGTGTGAAGTAAAAAACACCTCATCTAAAACTAAACTAATGAAACCCAAAGGAAGCCATTAACTTTTAACAGCGAAAAATATCAATTGAAAATTTAATGAAATAGCCAAAACTGCATGTAACCGCGGCGAGTCGAGTGTGAGAGATTGTCGCAGATTAAATTAAACATACTTGTGCGGTGTTGTTGTATGTACATATGTAAGTATGTGGCTATGTGGCAGTGCTACTACAAACGGACTGAGAATATAAAACAAAACCCCACGACGAGGTAACCAACGAAAAAACTACCAACTAACAAACCCACGAGTGTACACAGCAGAATGAAAATAAAATCGAACGAATCATAAATAAACACCAATATGGAGATCGATATGTTGCAGCAACATGACAGCAGCAGCAGCAGCAGTAGGAGCAGTAGGAGAGAGCAACAACAAGCGAGTGGGAAGTGTGGAAATAAATACTAACAGCCAGTGGTGATTACTGTTGTTCGCGCACAAATTTTTACGAATACCGTGTGTTGTCGTAAAAATATACAAAATACGAGTAAACAAAATTGAAAAGTGGAGTACGAACATGAAAAGAAGAAAAAAAAAATCTGCAAAAAAAGTATCATAAGAAACCTGTAAAATGGTATAAATGAGTATTGTGGCCCATAAAGGAGCGGACGGCACTTGTTGCTGCTGATAATAAATACAACAAGCCATGCATAAGCATACTTACATACACACACACACACGCATACGCTTCACACAAACTTTTTGCAGCAGTCGAGTAGTGTGTGAGTGGAAGATACTTTTGGACTTTTCGCCACTTTTTGTTGTCTGCAGCTCTCTGATTGGCATCACCTGCCAGCAAGCAACAGTAAGTAACGCATTCGAGACCAGCTGAGTTCGTGTAGGGTGAGTTGATGTTTTTTACAGCAACTACTGTTGTTGCTTCCTGTATTCATATATCTACCTACATGCACACGTATTTGTATTTGTATGGAACATCGTTACAAATGTCACTGTACTGTTTTGTGACCGGCATAAATACGTTTCGAGTTGTGTTTTAGAGTTTGTGCGAAAATTTAGCTGGATTTAAAGAGGTTTGCTCCCCCACACGGATGCATGTATGTGTATGTATGTATATGTAGATATGTATATACCGGAGCATTTTTACATTGTACTAGAGCTCTAAATAACCGGGTATCGTGCACTGTGAGCAGCTCGATACTCACTCAAAAGTCGTTCGTTGCTCAAATGATAGTTTGGAATTCTTTGGT